GAATGCGACCGCCGCCACCAGGCATGAGATCTCCAAGGTTGTTGCCACCGCCTCCAGGGCCACGACGACCACCATTGCCACCATTTATGCCACCGCCTCCAAGTGGCCCACATCCTTTTCCACCAGCCATGCCAAGGCCACCGATGCCTTTACTGAGACCCAGGCCAGGGCATAGGCTTCCACCACCACCACCACCTCCACCAGGTCTTAGGCCAATTCCTCCACTTGGTGTTGGTCCACCAATGAGAGGTATGGGAAGGCTTGGGCGTGGTGGTAAGAGGATAGGACCACCACCCAAAGGGAAAGCAAAAGGGAAGAAGACTAATACTGGAGAGGTAAGTATGATTTTTGACTGTTCATTTTGTTTAATAGTATGATTGCCATTTTGCGTTAATTCTGTTGAAATTGTGGTACAGTTATAGGGATTGGGTGTATTAAAATATATGTGTTAACAGTACACACGTTTTGCAACATTCCAACACAGAACCATAAGTATGTGCACTTGAACACAGATAACCTCACGTAGAGTAATGTTCTTGTGTTTGAACTGAAATCCTGTTTGAAATATAACAAATTTGTTTCGTACAGATGTGTCTGTTTCCAGGAAAATTATATTATTTTAATTAGTTATAATGAATCCCCTTATGATTGAACATAAATGCCATTACTGGAACTTATTTAGTATATCCATTGCTGTATTTGATGGGAATTTCATGCAGCAGGGTTTGAAATCTGTGATCACCCGCCCAGGAAGAAAAGATGTTTGCATTATTACAAACTTTCGTGTAGAATTTCCCAAAATTACAGCATTGTGCTCTCTTGACACATTAAGCACTGTGCAACTTACATTGTCATCAGCCAGTAATAATATAAGGTTTGGCTGCTTGGCATGGAATGTCATGCCAGTAAGCAGAAGCAATTGTAGCAGATTGTTACAAGAGATGAGCTGAACAGTTTGGAGAGAGATGGAAGGTCAAAGGCAGTAGAAGCATTTTCCAGTTAAAATAAAAATTGTGCAGATGTTTTGGGAAGAAAGCTTAAAACCCTTCATATGCAGTATTATATAAAAGTATTATAAAACCACGTACTGGCACTCACTGTTTCCTGGCTTGTTACACTGTTTAGTCTTGTAGATTTATTTATTTATAGTTTATTTAGCAATGCTGTTTTAGTAGCTCAGACTGTTTAGCATCAAAGTCTTGTAGAAGAAGGTAAACTACTACCAGATTACATAGTGCTGAAACCCAGAAAGCAGCCATATTTAAAGACCTAAGGAACTGTGGTATGAGGTTTACAGAAATTAATATAAATATTTTGTATTCTCCTCTTGAATGAAGTCCCCTTTTTGAAAGAAGACTGGTGAAGTACCTTTCCCACGACTTGGTTTATTCTTTGGTCACCAAAGCGGTAATTGTTGAATTGTTTCTGTTCCACAAGAGAACTGAAAGGGCCTGAGAATTTTAAAGAAGTTTTGAAGTTCTGTATCTTGAGTTTTAGGAATTATGGATGTTGTTAGACATGTCAGTTGCTGCCAGAGAAAGGGAGGTTTTGGGATTAACCACTTGTGTGAGAGGCCATGGGAAACTTCATTTTGCATGACTGGTTCTGTAAAGGTTCACAGTGATTCATTGGTCTTGTGAGGGTTTGAAAGCGTTCGTGAATTGTAATGTTGGAAATTGACGGTGAATTTTTATCTGTTTGTGACCAAAATTATACTACATAGTATTGTAGTACTCATAAATCTTGTAAAGACATTATTGAAGACTGGTCACTTGTGGTAAGAATTGACCAAATGTGGTTTTCCATAAACTTCTATAAAACATCAACATGTAAGAGGTTCTGTTGCTATAAATGGGCAAATTTCTTGAGTGCTTATAAGAATGCATGTGTATTCTGATCGTTACACGCACATTGTGATATAATACAGATTCATAAAAGTTTTATGCAATTTAGAGGAAATAAGAAAATGATTTGTGCACTCCTTATTTTGAGCTACAAGCTTTAGTCGGCTGTTTTTGATGAGTAAAGCCTGCTTTTATGACCACTAAATGTGTGTTGCCTCATTCTTATGATGGTTATCCAAGGACAAACAAATTAAACATCAAAAATTTCTATATCTTTATTCACATTTTGTTTCTGTGTGTAAATTACGGAATTTGTGAACTGATACGATATAATTTCCTTTTCCAAAAATGGATTTGTTTTGAAGTGCATACTTACGTTAAAACATATTGATGGAAGTCATGCTTAAGAACTCTGTACATGAGCCCTTTTTTGCCATTCCAGAGACGTTGAGCTAAACAGAGTCTAAAATAGGAAAACTAATTTAAATGTCGTTTGTTGCCATTGTTGTCTCCATATTTTTGGGCGAATAGGTGCAGGAGAATGAACTCAATAAACCTTGGGTGACTGAGGCTATGAAAAATGAAATAATGAAAAAACATAAACTGTACCAGAAGGCAAAGAAAAGCAATGACGAGAGCGACTGGAAGGAGTTCAAGGAACAAAAGACTCGAGTCGCCACGATGATTCGTGAAGCTAAACTCGAGTATATAGGAAATCACCCGGAGGAGGTAAGATTTATTGTTGCAGTATGTCTTGAGATCACCCTTGTTTACTTTAAAAATGGGGACATTTGGGGTCCATTGCCACAAAGTTTCCCTATGAAATTGTTTGTTCATATTTTGAGCACTATTCGTTTTTATATAACATTATTTTCCAAACTTGAGTCATGCCTGTAAAATAGTATGCACTAAATCCTAACATTGCTTTACGGCATGATCTTGTTTTTACATAAATGAATGCGTCATGGCACAATTGAAACGGTGTTCAGCACAGACAATATTTGCGTGTTTATGCTACATGTGTCATGACCTGAGTTTGGGAAGTACTGTAAAATGTCTATTAATCATTTTGGTTTGTAATTAATATTTTAAACAACTTAATTGGTTTCTATTTCCATTTACTCAGTATGAAACCTAAACTTACCATTCAGCATTAATATTATTGAAGCTTATTGCATAATCTTTGCTAATGGGTTTATGGTGCTTATGTGTGCCAGTATATTGTATGTCCCGTCAGTTTCATCATATATTGCCTTCCTATTTGTCATGCCCTTTCTGAATCAGAACAGTGCTTTTTGAAATGAAATTATTGATCACTCAAAATAATCCATATTTTTTCACATGGGATTTAATTCCAGGACGTTGATAAAATCATGGCAGAAGTCAACAATAAAGGAAAGAAGTGATGAGGAAATTTTGCTGGGCCCCACAGTGTACCCCGTTTCTTATCATATCCATCCGTCACGTTTCGTTTAGTGATAATTGATGTTTCATATATCGTAATGTTTAATGTTAGCTTTCTAAAGAACACTGTTATATGTGTCTGATAACTGTGCAGTGAGTAGGACATTTCAAACACATAACAAGAAACAGTTCATCCATTTATTTTAACAGACATTCTCTCCTTAATTTGAGAACATTAATGCACTAAGTAGATCCGCTTACCCAAAACAAAATGTACGGTATTTCTGATATAATTATATCTAACTGCTAGATTGTGTCTGTGTCTTATACATGCATTTGTGGCATCAGCAGACAGTTGTGCAATATACATCGGATGCTTAGTGACATCTGGTAAAATTCTGTTAGACGTAGGCTCATGTGATGAGTATGTAGTTGGAAATTCAGTGTAATCGTGACCTTACGAAACGTAGTAATCGGCCTGACTGCAGTCCTCAAGGCTGAACATTGGATTACTTCACATGTTGGATGAAATAATTGTATTGAGATTATAAAAATGTCACGGTGGGTAAGTGGATAGTAAAAGCATTTTGTGGCCTGTTTGTGGCGCATCTTAGTATTATGTCTTTTCAAAATCTTCACTGACTCTCAGTGTTGTTGTACTTCAAAATTTAAAATTCTAACCAACTTAAGAGTAAATGAAATGAAATACATTTAATTTCTACCTTATCTGGCTTAGTGGTAACTACATAATCAGATTGACAGATATCTCAAGTACTGTGTGCTAAGATAAGTTTTAACAGTTTTGTGTGTTAGTTGCTACAGGCTTTTCATGTATGGGATGTACATTATACCCAGAAGTGGTTTATACCTTCTGTGTTTATTGATCCAGTCTTAAGAGAATAAAAACATTTATGTGGAACTTCTAAATTGTTTTAGTAATTCTCTGTACCATTCAAAATTGTATGTTTTGCTTCCATGCCTGTCAGTTTTCTTGTTACTTTATAATTTAGTTTATGTGACATAAATTGCTGTTTGTACAATTGTGAAAAGGTAATCTTTTGATTGTATTTTCTGTGAATATCATTATGGACTGCTGTTTGAACGTAATTAAAAATTTTCTCTGTCTGGCATTTGCAAATATATTTTAATACTGACAATTGTTACTGAAGAAAACTCTTTGGAGAACAGAGCATACATGTCTTGGACATGAGGCAGTCTGTACCTTTACGTCAGCAAATGATGTGCGTACTGGAGTGTCCACAGTAAGTTAATTTTCCTACTTCACTGATTTCATCATGTTTAAAGCAAAAGTTTTCAAAATTCTGAAGTAATGTTGTAAGAAGTAGGGAATGTTAAATCAGAATTAGTTACAACATAACTGTTGCATGTGAATACTCTTAAACGAGTACTGAACTTAGTCATAGTGGTTGTCAGTAAGTTTGTCACTTGTGTTGTGATACAAGCCTTCCAAAATAATGAGTTGTACTTAAATTTCTTTCATGTAATGTTATGAAAAGTATACCAGTTTATAAATTGTGATCAGGAGGTTATAGAGTTTATTTACAGTATTTACATTCACGTCAACTGTCATGGCACAGTTGGGTCCAGCTAGCCTATGTGATTCCCGTCTGTGGATGTCTGATGTTTAATTATTCTATCGCCAGCAATGAAAGGTATAAAACAAATAATGAAAAATCCATTAATTATTTTTCAAACAATGAAAAGTCTGTAGATAAAAGGTCAATTTGGCTTTGAAGTTGGCTGCATTTTTCCACCTCTAACAGAAGATAATTTTTCCTAAAAGTTCTAAATTTTAAATCTGTTATGAGGACTACATATCGAATCTTTTTAAAACTGCTTTTATGTCCATGTCATTGTTCTGTTGTGTTTACCAGTATCATGCTTTTAACGTTGGATGCATTAGTGCAATGCAAAGAAGAGGTGTGCTAGATTAGGTGAGAGAATGTAATTCTTTTTATTACAGTTTTGGGATGTCTTTGCTTAGTAAAGTAATGATCAGTTTTGGTCAAAGTTTATGCATATTCACGTTCTAGCTCCAGCAGATTGAAGTGCTGTGATGCTACTTCCTGTTACTTGGGTGTAAATATTGACACCTCTAGTCATGCAGTTAAAAGTGAGTTTACTGCTGACATGTACAAGCCCACTTCTCTCTTTTTTTTTTAACTGGGGATGAAATTAGAATTGTGGGTACATGTCAGTTAAATATCGAGGAGTAGTGGTAGGACGATGTTTGTTTCATATCTGTTAAACCTATTTTGTTGGGCCCCTGCAGGGAAAAGAGCATTACTGTGAAACGTGTGATCGAGAGTTCAAGAATGTGTCCAAACTGGCCGAACATGTTAAGGAGCATCGTATATGTGGCCTGGATGGCTGTCAGTTCGTGGCACACCCCAAGGTTATATTAAAACATGTACAATTTCAGCATGATACAGGATTGTACAAAAAAATTGGCAGTCTTTACAGCCCTGAGGACATAGCGAAATGGATTTCAGAGAGGAAAAGGTGAGGAGGTGCTTATGTATTAATAGCTCTTGTTGTGATGTTATAACAGGTCTTTAAATGGGGAGAAACCTGCAACTCAAGAAGAAATTATTTATACAGAAGAGTTTAAAGACTGGGTATAACAAATGGAAGTTTTACTCATGCTTGCTTAGGAACTAACCCTGTTGCTATTCCATAATAACTTACTAACCACTGCCTCATTAATTAGAGAAATGTGGGGAGTGTTTGTCTCTAATGGATTCTACATACTATGTTAATAAAGGAATCTCGTGCCCAGGAATTAATTATGCCCACCATTTTGGTGAAAACATTGGTATCAGTTTTGATGCACGGGTTTAAACTCACCGAAGTATACATTCCTTTGACTGCAAAGATTGAGGAAGACAGTTCTCAGTGCATTCTGAGTCATATTTGATGAATTGTCATTTATATCTTATGGTTTTCATGGAGACATGAATTCAAGCAACATTAATTGTGTATATTATCATAACAACATATCAAATATTCAATTTGGTTGTCTTCTTGGTTTGCAGTTAGAGAACTTGGACATGACATAAGCTATTGATGGGGTGTCTTGTACAACTTTAAATTAGTTCACGTTCGAAGATGAACCCTAACCTCATATATTCACAACCAAATAAATTATAGATATTCACATAATGAAAACTGCACTGATTACAAAATTTCTTTGTTCATCCATGGCTTAGTACATACACGTACTCCTGTATAATGAAGCAAAACAAATTTTAGATGTTAATGCTTAACAGTGGTTACCTGAAATAGCATAATTTTGCAGTGTTTACAAGTCTGATCACAGATATTTTATTTCAGACATCAGAACAATGGCAGCTTTTGAATGAAAAGTCATATACCCAAAACATCCGTGTTTATTTAATTTGCAGAGTTTTTATGTATACCATCATCATAAATGATGTATTAATATGCTTGTAAAGTTATTCTATTGATTATCTAGCACAAAAGGTAAGTCTGTAAAAAAAATTTCTGGTTGGTCAGAAACATCTCAGCAGTAATAGGCACCTATTACTACTCATCTTTCCCATTGTAACATGTAACCCCACCAAAAATGATTTGTAGTATTCAACCACCTTTTTGGGTAACACATTCCATTAAAATTTGTGGGTATGTTTTGTTTTAATTCATAACCCAACTTAACAGGAAGCACATACGACCATTGATATACAATTGCATGCACAGAATTTGCTTGCAGATTCACGAGGTTTTAATATTTATGTAGGAAGGGTTAACAAATGTTAAGCGTGTATATCGCAGTAAAGAATTACTCTTATGTGAATGTTTTTTATTGGAAACTTATAACAAAATTTGTCTTTACCATGTTTATTTCATTTTAATTCCCAGTGCAACTGTTTACATTGTTCTTTATTATTCTCATTGCAAAGGGGATCAAAATTATTAAAGGAATTTCAAAGTATTTGTATATTTTCCATGGAAACGTATTCTTCTTTGTAGATTCTATCCTACCAAGGAGCATGTAGCGAGGAGAGAAGCTGAACAAGAGGAGAAACTGAAGAGGGGTGAAAGACTTGGTGAAAATAAGAATCGCTTTGGGAGAAATTCTGTGTCATTTAATTCAAGAGGAACTAGGGGTGCAAGTAGAGGTGAATGCTGTTACAGATCTGAATAATGTATTGCAGACTAAAGAAATTTTGTTTGGTGTGGCTGTCTCCTGAACACTATGCTGACAGACATTGTGCATGTGGTCTTGCAGGCTGATGATATAAGCCAGCAGGAAGGTGAGTCATCTCATTGAGATGTGTCAAAACAGCTGTGTTCAGGTGTTCTTCACCTGTCTTTATGTAGACTGACTTCCCTCCCTGTGCTGCTTTATCTTATCTTTTTGTTATTTGTGATTGTGGATGGTTGGATGATAAATGAATTTGAAGGGCTGTGGAAGGAAGTACCCGTGACCTGTTTTGAGGTACAATCCTTATATTTGCGTGGATGGCTGAGGAAAACGACAGAATAACGTCTGGATTGCTGATCTGTGGGCTGAGATTTGAACCCATGACCTCACCTAATGAAGCAGGGGTTGTAACAACTTGTCCATGACAATAATTTATTTACAGTAATGTTTTAAATTTTTTCTTCATTCCTGAGTAGTGTAATATTAAAATATGCTTGATGAAATGACTATTTTTGTTTAATATTTTATTCAAAATCTTCCAGGATTTGGGGGAAGAGGAAGGGGGCTTGAAAGAGGCAGAGGCAGATTTTCTTCTAGGTCATTTCCGCACGCAAGGAACATCTCTGGAAGAGTTGGTGAAACCAGCAAACAATCACGTTTCGAGATTGTTTGTGAAGATGATGAAGTGAACAGAAAACTTCCTGCATTCCCAGGCACAGGTAGTATATTAATATCCATAATGTAATTATGAACGTTGCGACTTAGGCAGCGCTTGGACTGATATTTTGTCCTTTGTTCTACTGTAGCAGCCTTTAGTGAAGCAGCCTCGTTGGTTGAAAACAGTAGCTCTGAAGAGGACCGGGGACAGTTCAGTGACTCTGAGTGGGAGACTCCAGGAAGTGTTACACCGTGTAATACACACATTCCAGTTATGAGCAAGGCTTTGAGCAGTCTTGTGGGGTTGTATGCATCAGATTCCTCAGGAGCAGAAGGTAAAATAATCCTTATTTTCCCTTATCATTTCTGAACCTGTACCCGCACTTGGAATGTCCCCTGTAAATGTGCTTGCCTCAGTTTGAAGCCTTTCTTTATAATTTATTATGCATTAGAGAAACTGTACTCTTTCTGTGCATGATTATTGCATGAATATAGTCATTGTTACCAGGTTTTAACATTTTCCAAAATTTTGTTTCAGATGAACAGAGCACAGTCCCTTCATTGTCTCTTGTTTCTCGCACCAAAACACAGTTGCGAATTTCTTGCAAAGATACGATGAATATTGGTGCAGCAGTTATTGAAAGCACTGGACCAGACATTTTGAACAAAATTACAGCAGAGAGGACAATTAATAAGGAACATTGTGTTACAAGTGGTTTAAAGTTGGATGACAGTGATAGTGGTCCTGAAGAAGCTCCAGTACTCCATGAAAGCAATGAAGTTCAAAAGAATAACACCAGTTCAGTTTCTATGTGCAATGAGAATGAAGAATGTCGCGAATACAAAGACGCCACTGAAAATACACGAAAGAGGAGGAGGCATCATAAACATAATTCATTCAAGAAAGTTAAGTCAGCTCCGACTGAGGAAAGGGAAAATGTGTGTAATGAAAGAAAAGGTTCCCGTAAATCTTCATATGTAAGGCGGAGGAAATTAACTCTGTTGGAGAAGGTAAATAAAGTAGTCATTGTGTCATGTAGGATATAAAGTAAGCATTTGTATTCCTGTATCAGAAATATTATCTGATCCATCCCACAGAAATGGTTAATTATATAAACTTATATGAAATGTGATGCTTTGCCGTGTTTGCCAGCCAGTTTAGTAAGATAGCAACACAGGTAATGGACGGGCTGATGTGCAGTATCGTTCACCTAAGATTTAAAATTCGTATCCAAAATATCTAAATGCTTGGGTCATGTAGGTCTGTTGATGTGCTAATACTACTATAAAAATTAATGCTTTTGTTTGTTATGGCGTTATTATCTCTTGTATAAGGCTATTGCAGTAATAACACATTTCTGTTTTTGTTATAGCTTTTGAGCCGTGAAATCCGACATGAGAGAAACATGATTCTGCAGTGTGTCAGATATGCCGTACATAATAATTTCTTTACTTCGGATGCAGATGTCATAGTCGAGAAAAGAAAACACGAGTTAAATCCACTTTTGCAGTGCATTCATTACATTGTGGACAGTAAATTTTTTTGCATGACTCAGAATCACCAGTCATTGGAGGCAGATTGTGATTCTTTCGATGACATGAAGGGAGCCATAAAAACTGAATGTGAATCTCAGAATAATGAAGTTGTTTGTAATTAAGTGAATAAAATACACAGTATGTACAACAAGGAAATGGTGTCTCTGTAAGTGAAATGCATATTAGAAATCCAGTTGGTATGTGAACAGCTCAAACATGTACACATTTTCTCTTAAACACCAAAGAGAAAATGTCAATTTACTTGTTTAGTTCAGTGATTGAAGCTTTTGTTAAGAAGTGGTCATCTCATTCATTAGTTGAATATACTAGATGTAATTTGCTGGTAATAGCATTTATATGAGTGTTCAGACAGAAGCCTGATATTTTGTGCTGTTTTTATTCTTAGTTTCTCTGGTGGATGTAATTGTCTGAGGTGTGTTACTGCAATACATGGTACAGAATTCCACAGACGTTTTTATGCTAGGATGTGCCAACCAGTTTGTGGAATTGTTGGGCTCTAATTTTAATGTTTTAGAATATTATCATAGTAGCTCTATAGTTTGCATTAATGAAACACATTTTTGACTTTGTGCATGAACTGCATAATCATATAACTTCAGGTAAATTACCTTTATGTGTGGAAGTGGGGAATTTGAATCCTGTACTGTGAGGCTGGATGCCCGGCATTTAATCACTGATGAGCTGCCGAATTACCTCTAGCCTCTGTTTCCAGATGCTCTGGGGCGCACCCAGTCTCCTATCCATTGGATACCACAGTTTTTTTTCTGGTGTAAAGCATGGCTGGGGCATAACGCTGACCACTCACCACCATCTAGTGCAGGGGTTAAGTGACTAGGAGCTCTACCTCTTCTCTCTTTTCTTTTCCTCTCCCCCCCCCCCCCCCCCCAAGTGCATACATGGCTTGTAGCTGGACAGCTTTTTTTTACTATGAGGCAAGGAACTGGTTTGTAATTAGGGTTTTGGTTTTTGAGAAAAGTGAATGTGAGTGTGTGTGTGTATATATAAAAAAGAAACTTATGCAGAAGTATTTTTGTAAAAAGTATTCAAAGAAAATGTGTGAGAAAAGCAAATTAAAATGTATGGGTATGGAGTAGTCCCTCCCAAACAGCCATTCTGTAATTATTGTGTTCTTGCTGATGGTTATTAATAGTTTTTTTTAGGCTAGGCTAGTAATACACAGGATCATTGCTTTATTAGGTAGACTGCAAAGTATGTCTTGCAGAGCAACTTAGTGCAGAGCTCTGAGTTTGGAGTTTACAAGGCTTGGTTGGTGGTGAAATGCTGGTGGTATGACATGCATGGCTTCTTTGCCTCAAGTAGCGCAGTTTGACTTGTGTAGAGCACAGTTCAATCTAACATTGCTTTTACAGGAATGAAGAATGCACTTCAAAATATGTTAAAAAAAATACAAAACGAAATTTGAACCATCTGCTATTTATTTTTAAGACGGTCCAAAATATTTCTTCATTAAGTGAATATGCTATTGGTTGAATATGGCTGTTTTGGGGTTGCCCCATTGGTAAAAGTTTACTGACGTTTCAGAGGTACTTGCTGTCTCCATCATCACTATGATGATGGAGGCAGCAAGGACCTTTGAAACGTAAGTAAACCCCAAGACTACGTAGCACAACAACCCAGAAGACACGTATTCATTGCTGCTTTTCCTATGTGCGTCAGCTAATACGTAGTCGAAAAACATTTTTCCTCCAAATCCGTACTCGGATGCTGCATCCTTGTGCTGTTCTGTCTCGCCAAACTAATTTGATGGGTTTTGAATTGCGTGGGAAAGGAGGAGTATGGTATATGCCATGCCTATTCACTTTAGATTTTCGTCCATTGCTGGCAACGAAGCATAAGACAATGTTTTAGATATAATAAATAGTTGATTAACTTCCGTTGAAGATAGATTACAAGGATATGTATGCGTGACGTCATAGACAGGTGTGCTGCCAACCTTTAAAGTTGTGTGGGATTTTCTATGCCCATGGCGTTATCACGGATTCAACAGCAGCGCAAGACTAACCTATGAATTGAACGTTTTGATATCCGTGATATCTGTTCACATTTCAGTAAGTTGAGAGAAATGTAACATGGCAGGTGATCTGCTTTTTAAAGGAAATGACCCAGGTGCGGTTAGGCATGGGAATTTTATAAATTATTATCAGTTTAATTCTACCGAAAGTAGATTAAAGTTATTACCGACAGATCTGTGGAAAGTAAAGAGCGCTCAGAGCCTTGTGTGTCTGGACATAGGATGCAATTCTGGGGTAAATATATGTTTTGTTAATTGTGTTAACATTGAGTTGAGTATATTGTGCGATGAAGTAGCTTGTTGAAGACTATACCGTTGCTTTTGAACGACTGTGTTGGTTGTTGGTGCTGACGGTTCTGTCTTTGCTTAAAAACTAACCCATCAGACTGACTATGTTACATTTACATGAGCTTCGATGAGTGTTAATGACTGTTCCAGTTCCCCTAAACCCAAATATGTCATAAAGCTTTTGTCTTGCAAATCACAGTTTTGAAACTCATTATCACTATCTACCATAGCGATTTTCGTATTTGTCATTCGAGACAATTATTTACTGTTTTTGGACCAAACAAATTATTATAACCCCCTGCCTGTCTGAATTTGGGTGTTACGAATAAAATACAGAACTGAATCTGTGATAAAGGTGCTGGAATTCAGTAGAATTTGCCTTACCTTTATTAAGACCATATGTTTCAACATAATTACAAAATAGATCCTATACTGTAGAAGTAACAAAGATGTAACACAAACCATATGTACCACCCTAACCTATCACTGCATTTGATTTTTTTATTGGGGCTCATCTCATAGCCAAGTCTACACCTTTACACGTGCTTATTAAACGTTAGAGAAATATGAAGTGTGGAAGCTTTCAGAATCAGTTATTCAATGATACTGGTTATATTAAGCCTGAGTGGAGAATTAATCACTTACTGCCTTTCTTAACTCTGAAGGTGGCAGTTGACTTTTTGATGACTAGAGTAACTTTCTGTATGCTGAGATGGAAGATCTGAAACCAAGGAAAGCAACTGACAGTTTTGTGTCTTTACTGACTGCAGCCTTCAGACTACACATTGCCGTAGCTCAGATGATCACAGTTCACATATTCACTGCCATGAAAACGCCAGTTATGTTTCAGTTCAGTATTTCAAGTTGTATTTTCTGAGATAGAAACCACCCTTATTTGTCTAGGATTAAAGCTTTTCTTATTGTATTTGCGTATTGAATTAATATTTTGACTAATACTTTAAATTAATTATTTACAGGATTTGACACAAGAATTATACAAGTTTCTTTCAACACATCTCTCTTTTGTTGCTCCCAGTGTGGAAGTCGGTGAAGAGAGGAAAGGAAAAGCTGATTCTTACATTCTTGGCATAGATTTGGATCCTATTTTGATAGCAAGAGCTGAGGATGCTAATAAATACACCTCAAATGTTACGTATAAATGTGTTAATTATATGAGAGACAGAGAGGGTATTATTCCCTTGTACTTGAAACAATGCAGTAAAAATTATTTTGATGTCATCTTTTGTTTTTCTGTTACAATGTGGATACACCTAAATCATGGTGATGAAGGATTAAAAGAGTTTCTAATTAGTGTGTCAATGCAAACTAATATGGTTGTTATTGAACCTCAGCCATGGAAGTGTTATAAATCTGCTGTGCGTCGGATGAAACGATCTGGAGGAAGTTTCCCCAAATTCGTAAATTTAAAAATGCGAGATCAAATAGCTCTTGACATTGAAAATATTTTCCTCAATGAATGTAACTTTATAAAGATTGAGAAAGAAACTGTATGTACAGAATGGGGAAGGCAACTTCTATTTTTTAAGAAAGTTTCGTCAGAAGGATGATAACTTGAAATTATTCTTTAGTTTTTATCTGTAATAGCGCCTCTCATTGCGTGTCTTTCGATCCTGGAAGTGATGGGAGCCGTTATTAGATCTTCGAACAGGGAAAATATTCATGTAACTTAAGAAGAAAAAACAGTTTTTTCGTTAATGTGTGGATACACTCTACAGTGGATATATAATTAACAGTAAATTGGTATTAATCTTTTAAAGTTAAGATTCCAGCATTAACATTTATGTAATGAACATGCAAAGAAACACTTTTACTGAATTATATTTATCTTTAATGAATTGTTAACTTATAATGTTACCTTTGTTGCACTGGTGCATGGGAATTGAAGCTTGGTACTACAAAACTGCAGGAAACACATAATTCAGTAAACATTAGGAAGTCTTGTGTAACAAGTGATAAGTGAACAACATCAAGTATAAGTGCGCATATATTTGCTCCCCTTCCTTTCCTGATGCTCTTCATATCAGATACCAGCATTCAGTTTACTTCACACGCCCTGTTTCCACTCATGTGAAATGTTACAGCAGAATTCATGATATGACACTTACTGCTCAATGTATTTATGTTGGTAGCCAACCCCTTTCTTCGTTTATGAATTTCAAGGATTCCCACATAATCATTATCATATTATTTACATTTTGCATTTGTGTTTATGAAATTGGGTAAGATTCCCAAGTCTTTAATTATATAACCTAACTTCTGTTCACATTTTATACTTTCAGAAGTATTACCAGGTCGTAAGTTGCTTTCCTCTGTGAGACATTATTATGTACACAGATACATACTGTCCTGAAGCTACACAATTTTTTGGATGTTGGGTTGGTGTGGAAATACATCCCGGACAGCTATTAATGATGACTACTTAGGCTTAAACACGGTTACGAATAAATGTAAAAAGAGGGGAATACTTAATATTGCCACATGGAATGTACGTGGAATTGCTTTCAAAGAAGATCAATTAGATGATATACTTGCAAAGAAAAATATAAAAGTCAGTACAGTTTGAAGAATAAAAATGCCAGATGATGGAATGATAATGTTTACGTGACTGTACAGACAATACTATTTGTACTGCTGTAGACAATGTCAACACAAGGAATAAGAATCAGCCTCACAGACCAATTGCCATCCCCTCGTATTTTCATAAGGGTGCATATTATGCAGAAATCAAAATTTTCAACAGTTTTCACCAAGTCTCATAAGTCTTCTAAATAAAAAAGGCACAATTTACAGTAGACACTTATTTATGCACTCCTTTTACTCTGAGGATGAATTTCTAATGTTTACAAATAATTTATAATTTTCATAAGAGTTTGAATTGCACTTGTAATGTGTAGAATATGTATTGTATTATTATGACTTATTCTACATCTTGTCATCTGACTAACTTATGGATACATGGAATGTAATAAAGATGTGTATATATATATATATATATGTATATATGTATACCGAAACACCATGTACTCTGACCATCACAAGTGATTTTATTTACTATTATTGAACAGCCTGAATATTGGAAGTGTTAGACATCTTTTATCCACAGCAGAGGGATTTTTTTATTAACTAATCTGTACTGGGTTGAAAGTCAATGAGTACAATCACAAAGCTTCCCTTTTCTTCCAGTGGAACACGCCAACTTGTTGTGAACGTGTGAAACTGTAATGAAAGAGTATATTTCTAGGTTATCATGTTCTGTCTTTCTGGCCATTTCTACCTAATAAGTGCCATTTGGAAACTGGACTCAAAATTGTTCACCACAGCATTTATCCATTTAATTAACAAAGGTTACCAGAATATTATAAAGGTCATTATAAATGAATTTATAAATATAAATGTCTCCACAGCCAGCTGTTTAAAAGACAAAAAAATTTACTTAAAATGGCAAAATATGAATAATCTGTATAAGAATGCTTTTAGAATCGTTTGCCTAGAAATATGTAGAAATATTTTCTTTCCCATTGCAATGGTAGTTCTGCTTAAATTAGGCCATAACTGCTTCCTTCAATGTCCTCAGTTTATCAGTTATTAATCATCCACTGCGTAAAGGAATGCCAAAAAGATGTGATCCAAAAGATGTAAACTGTAAGGTCTTGTACCTTGCTGACATACACTGTGTCAATAGATGACTAAAAGGGATGACTATAAAACGAAATTAAATTAAACTATCATTCAACACTATATAGTCTGAACTACTGACAATATAATTAAATAAACCACAAATAAATGTCCTTGAAATGCCTACAAAATTCTTATAGTAACATTTTTAAATTATCTTCATTCCTTTGGCCTGTGTTCCGCACCCACCGCGATGTAGCCTGCATTTTTTTGTCTGAATTTTAAGCATTCATCATGAAAGTATGATTTATATTACTTTATCGTGTACTAATGTAGACTCTCTTTGACTGAAGTTTTGATATTTTCTGTAATATTTTCCCAAGTGCCGTTGTTGCCAATATTATCATCTGTGTTTTTGAAAGCTGTAAATCTCTTTAGCATTTTGACATGTTGATGTTCCTTAACTTCTTAGCTTCTTGAGATTAAATCTCTCCATACCAAACGTCGACATTGCTTGTTTCCTTACCAACAGTTCCCCCAATTTTCGCGCACACTAGTGGTCAGCATCACAGTCAGCTTCTCTAAAAGATCGACTGTCAAGTATACTTAAATGCCATCTTCTATCTATCAAGACATGCATCAATCTGATTGTTTACCCATGAGGAGAAGTCCTAGTATATTTTTGAATTTTTTATGGGGCAAATTTTGCTGCTCTAACGACTATTCTGAACGGTTAATTTGACAAGTACTTTTTCATTGAAATATACTAATGGAATTGACCACATACAGGATGTAGTTCCTCATAAAATATGTTTTTTTGCATAGTAATTTGTATGCTCAGTTGGAGCATGAATTATGGCATAAAACATGCTATCATTTATGAACTCACCCTCTCTTCCTAAGTGAATGGAAAGGTGTGCTCTTTGGAGTTCGCTGAAATTCCCCAATTGATAAAACAAATGCAACACTATCATCAAAGATAACAGTGTTTTCCAAGGTGGTTGTTGGAATAATATGACCAGACATTGTTATTCAACGATGACATAACACACTGGCAACAGTGACCTTAGTTCACACTGTCACAACCAGGATGTGAAAGCACAGGGGTGTCCAGTCCTTTCAGGCAATGGGGAGGAGGCCTTCAGGGCAGAGTCCGTGGAACAGCAAGTGCTTGGTGATTCACCATGGTGTGCATTCCCAGGAGGTAGCAGAAGGTGTATGAACTCGACCCTGGGAGCAAAAATGATATGGAAAGGTCTGGCTTGTAAAGCTGCAAGAGTGTGAACCTCAGTTCCAAGGAAAAATTGGTGGTGGTGGGGGGGATGATCCCTGTGGTTTTTTCAAGGGGATGCAGGCCATAAAGGAGCCTAACTCCATGCATGGCCAAGATCACGGTAGGTAGCCTGCTGGTGGTGGTGGTTCAGTCTCTCATGGTGAAGCTCTGTTGTGGTGTCAGAAACCAGCGAGTGTAAAGCAATGGATTATGAAAGCCTGAATGGGTTAGGTACGAGAGGGGAAGCCTGTAGGGCAGAGCCTCTGGAGCAGCAAGAGCAGAGGACTAGGGCACCATGGAGCAAGCATGCTGGTGGAAGGCCTGGATGTTAAAACACGAGGCAGTCCTGGTTTATCCAAAACCCAGCAAGTGTACGGCCCGATGAGGGTAAGGCTACAAGGAGCAAGTCCTGTGGGCAAAGTCTCAAAATGAGGCAAGCTAGAGGGAACAAAGGCCTGGGAGAAAGAGCCCACTGCAGAAAACATTGGTTAGAAGCCCCTACGTAGAGCAAACCCTCGGGTTCGGTTTGCCCCGTTTGAAGCCCAGGATGTTTTTCTTTCATGCTAGAGCACGAATAATATCTAATAACGGAAGTGCTAATTATAGTTATAGAAAATTAATGTTTTATTTTTCTTTCGTTTTTGATGGGATGATTACAAAGTGAAAAGTCTACAATGAACATAAATTTGTATACGTTGCAGACAAGATATTCATTTTTGGGTTATGTCTTTGAACCATTATTTATTAATATTATGATATTAATCCGATTACAGTCTATTAACAATTCAGAAAGTACACTGAAATTTAATTTGTAAGGTACTAGTAGTGTAAGTTGTATGTGTAGAACGCACACGTACGTAAATATATTGCAAATATGTATGGCAATGTATGCCTTCGTATGTGTAATACTTCGACATGCATTTTTGAAAGTGGCGCCAATAAACGATAATGGCGGATCGATTAGATTAGTTAATGTATCGATGGCAAGCGCGATGCTAAATGGGGCTAGCAGGAGAATTCTGGCTTCTTAGTATCGTGTGCCTATAAAGTGATAAAATTCCTTAAATCCGCTGTTTAAACAGAAGTAAGCCAAATAGTATCAATGTGTTCTGGAAATGGTGTGTAAAGAAGACGTTGTGACATGGTTTAAAGAATTAACTAGCTCCAAACGTATTGATGTAATGTGTAGTTTGTTGAATATGTGCCTTCCATTTGAACTAAGGTTCCTCGGCACATGTCTAGAGGACCTCGGGAAGCGAGATTTTCATGAGCTAAGGGATACAGAAGTTCGGGCAAATAATTCATCAGAGTTATCTGATTTGCAGTGCATTGGTGATAAGCGAACTCGGAGAAAATTGGCTTTATTTTTATCCCTGTTGAAATCGTGTAATCATGCATGTTCTAATGGTCTGTACAAGATCCTAGCAAACTTTGATATTAGTGAAATTAATACCACGAACAGTTCATCATCAGATGAAAATCGGTTGGAAGAACTATTACTTCTGTATACACTTGCCTTAAATCATCCAGCTTTCTCATACGAACAAAAAGCGATTTTTGGTAATATATTGGTAAAGCTTCAAGATGAAGAAAATAAAATATATTCATCTAAACATCCAGTTGGCATCAGCTTACTGTATGTCAAACCCCCACTACAGGTACGATTTCATAATGAAGGCAGAATAATTCTTAAATAAGATATCAGTAAATGATTAGTATGTATAATTAAGAAGTAGGGTGACAAGTTTGTAAGTAGGTCACAAGTTTTTAACTAGAAAGGTGTATGTGTGCGTATTTTAGAAAGAACTAGTTGAAAGATTTTAATACTTTCTTTTATTTTGTGCATCATTCAGCCCTGTGCACCTTCTCCATCAACTGAAGATTGCCAGCAACAAGATGTACTTGGTCACTGCCCTGGCATTACAGTACCTCCACCTCATTCAGCTGGTGAATATTTCAGAATTTACACACACACATGTAATTATTTGTATGTGTCACCTATTGAATGTAATTTTGTCAGTTGCATTTAAATGATTACCTTTATTGTTTTGTCCAATGGAATTTTGTTTGAAATGGGACATGGCGTGTGCAGAAGAATGGGTGTTCCACTTCCTGTACAGTTCCTTATATGTAAGAATGACAAAGTTGTAGGAAATTTGCACTAAATTCATGTGTAATGTGCATAAATAGGAGTAAATATTTCTAGATATTAGTAAGATGATTTGATATTTAAGCTTGCATTCTTCATTGCGTAATAAATATTTGCTTGAGAAGCTTTGCTACAAATAAAATAGGAAGGATATTAATTTCTTTTATACTTGTTTTACAGCGGGAGACATCAACAAAGGAAGAAATTCGATACCCGCTGGACTTAGTGTTCCCCCAGGTCTTGGCCTGCCTCCAGAGCAACTGACAGCAACCAGCTGTGTACATGTTGCATTTTCATCCCCTGGGCACCAGCCAATACCATCATCTGTCCCATGGCATAGTGGAATGGGTCCCTTGGTAATGACTGGCCTATATGGAACATTACCATCAGAAGTACAAGGAGCTGGCGAAGTTTCACCATATCCGTCGTCTCCTCTCGTGAGCCGTCAGTCTTCACCGTCTCAGTCAGGGTCTCCGAGCCGTGCTGGCTCTCCCGTGCGAATGCAGCAGCCACCTATATCAGCGCCGACACAGCCAGTGGTACCGGTATCAGATCGGAGTCAGAACTTTTCAAAAAGTTTGGCACCTAATCGCCGTGGTGATAGGAGTGGCTCTCACTCGAGTGGTGTAGCCGTTCGACAGAACTGTGTGGATACCAGTGTTGCCCCACCATCCGCACAGCAGCACCGTAATATGTCCAGGAAGAGTAGTATGGAGACTCAAGATTCGTTCAGAGAAACGTTGGTCAAAGAGATGCCCAACTACCAGAATCTTCAGAAGTATCGCATAGATGAGGTGAGTTCTCGCGGCACATTGTTGGTTGCTGCTGATTGTATGAACTAGTTCCAAACTGGTGTTTGAACTGTGTGTTGCTCCCCGTTCACAGATTCATCGTATGGGCGATGATGAGCTGAAGGATTTAGGCTTATCAAGTGGCGCAATAATGCAGTTACGAAGCATCATGACCAAGATGAGCAGTACTAACGGACTGTGCGGTGTTGATAAGAGGGAGCCGGCACCTAATACAGGCAGGAGGAAACTTGATGCAGGCGTTGAAATGGAACAGGTAACGACTGGCCGTGAAGTACACGTTACTTACGCGAAATTGGATAAGGTAAATTGCATTCCAAAAGATATTGTGTGGAGACTGGTGACTGTTTATCAGGTTGGTGTCTGCATCAGTTTGACTGATTGGCGTGAAGCATTACGTCATGATGCTGATTATTATAATTATTTTATGTTGGTATTTTACTCCTTTCATCCCCGAGACTATTTCTGTTGTTGATGCGGCATATTACTGATTGAATTTTCAAGCAGTGGCTAAATTACATGCTTTCTTACCCTTGATATTGTGGAAAGGCTGGTATTTTAATATGCTCTCTGCTTCAGGTAAAGTAAATATTGGACTGGTTCGTGTTTGTGTGAAAAGTAGACGGTATTCAGGCCCAGATGTTGTGTTGCTTTGTCTCAGGGGCTGAGACAGCGGGCAGACGACTGCAGGGAGCTTGGCCCTGCTCGGAAACTTACTTGCATTTAGCTGTTGTAAGTTACACGAGTGAGAGTAGAGTACGCACAGGTACGGCAACTACCTACCCTCCAGGTGGAGGGTTGCTGTCAGGCGTGGTGGAACTGGATGTGTGCGTGTACATAGGTTTGCATGGCTGAAGATGCAAAGATTCCAATGGTGTGAAGGTTCTTAACTTCAGTAATCAATGGGCTCTACTCATATAATTTCGTTAAGGTTGATTAATTTTTCCCGCCAGTTTCCTGGGTGTCAGTCTTCTGGGTAATGGATGGTGTCTGATTTTTAAGTGAAGAATGTTGTTTTCCAGTCTGGGTATTTATGGTTAATTAAATAATTATTGCTGTTGTTTTCAGTTTGATTCAACACTAATGCAGCAATTCTGATCTAATTTTTTACGGCACCAAACGACATTGAATTTCATGAATGTTTAGGATCTTAAAGCTAGTTTTATGCTGGTTCACTTTAGTGTTGTTGTTGAGATCTTTGTAACTAGACATATGGGATCTCCATCATCTCTGGTTGTATTGGTTTGTGGTTTACCACTCTTGATATTCAGTCGCTTGCTGCAGTGTAAGACCGTGGATCAACATTACTTCGAAATCCACTTTAATAACTCACTAAAACAATGAAAATCATTGGCAAGATTTTGTAATACAAGCACCAGTTTGTCAGTATAGTTTTATCTCTGGCTTCGACGTATTGAACCAGTCTGTTTTCTGTGCCGAGTGGCTTTTCCTGAAGAAAACTGTAGTCTTGTCAAATCCAGAATTTGTTTTGAAAACATATTTTCTTCTGTACAGTAACATTTTATGGGTGTCATTTGTCCTCTTAGCAGCATGTTCTTCAGATACTTTGGTCCACTCATTAAAATAGTTGGGCTGTATTAATTCTTTAAACTGCACCATAACAACAGGTTTTTATGCTGTGTTGTGCTTCTGCATGATTTCAATCTAGTGTACCACAATTATATTTATGCACATGCATTAGTCTCGGTTACTGTACGAAAGATTTCACTTCAGAGCCATAACAGACTCGTTATTAACGAGTTTGTAACAGACTGCAGGAAACCAATTTTGCTTAGTTTGTTATTTGCTTTTACTTTCATACCAGCAGTGCCTATGCTGAAAAGTACTCAGCGGGGAAAGAAAACATTGTCTGATCAAATTCATGTGTACTTTTAAAGCAATTTAAGAATGTGTGTTCTTGGCCTTTTAGTATGTATGTAGACTGAATCATGTAGGAGCATCTCACAGCAGAATGATTTTATACATAAATGCTGTCTGTTTCCAGTGGAGCCTGGTCTTTATGATGCTAATAGGTGATACTTTTTGTCTTTTATTGTAAATCTGTAGAAATGTTTTCTTACAAGATCTGCCATTTCCTCACATCATAGACAAACTTGTAACACCACACTGTGCTCAATTATTTTAATGAAGGTATGTGATATACTTGCTATATTGGCAGTTTGATTTGTTTGTATGATGACACTGATCAAAATGTGTGTCTTCATAGATATGAAGCTCGTAGTCCCTTGATTACAGTACAGGTTGAATGTGCTTGTGTGCAGGTCGCCGAAAGGAAGACTCAGAGTGCCGGTCCTGTGATGAGAAGGTACACGAGCGTACCTCTAGAGGGCGGTCCTGTGATGTACCCACAACCTCCACCACAACTGTTCTCAACACCACAGGGTACCCCTTGTTACACTTGCTTTGCTGTGCCAGTCTCTTCCTCTGCAGCTCCTGTTCGTTACCATGGCCACGTTCAGCCGTTATACTGCGTGAACCATCAGCTGCAAGCGCTGCACTTGGATGGGGATGCAAGTCGGCATTGTTCCAACAGCAGTAGCGCCTCAGATAGCTCCAGCGCAAGTCATTCTCCACCAGATACCCCTTCAATGCCTACAGCTCCTCACTGGGACGGTAGAGGTAAGTGGAAGATATATGAATATGATATAGAACTGTGTTATGTTGGAACTGTGAAGTTTGTTTGGAGTTTTAATTTTCTTTATTAATGAATATCTAAACTCTTCGTATTGCTGTGTTTGTTAGCATACATGGGGAAAGAGACTGGTGGAGGAGAAAGGTGGAGCCCAGGATGTGATGAACGTGCAGAAAAGGACCGGAGGTTGCCAGAGTCATCTGAGAAGGGCGGTGTAGGAATGGAAGAAGGGGGTAATGTCCATCAGCAACAGCCTGTGCAAAGTAGTTCCAACAGTAACACCAGCAGTAGACCCCGTTTGCCTGGTGGATTGGGAAGGAGCAAACCGAATCCCCCCGGCCTACAGACCTTGCCTCGAGGCCGTGGTCCTAATCCTTCTACTGTAATATTGGAGGGAAATCATAAGTCACTACCCAGTTGCCGACGCGATGGCCCAGCTGTGAATGGAGCCCAAGTGGCAGCGCCCCCTCCACGTACTTCCCATCCACATACCCCTCATGAGGATAGAAAATTGTTCTTACTTCCCTCTGAGATGGTCCAAGTATCTCCACATGCCAGTGTGACATACACGACAGTGAACTCTACTTCCCAGCCACCGCCGCCTCAGTATTCCGGTAACAGCAGTGGGAACAATCCTCCGCCTCGGCCGACTGACATGTCTGGTGGCAGTAGCAATGTGCCTTACACCCCTGCCACGGCATACCTTCCACATGCTCATTTTCCAACACTGCGAACCGCTGGTTCTATCTTCCCAGGCTTTCCACCTGGAAGCTACATCCGGCCTTCTTACCCATTTCCAAATGGAGAACTAGTATACCAGTACCATGGCCCCCAGACTCCTCCCCCGCCTCCACAAACCCAGTTCATACCGACTCCTGTTGTAACTTACTCCACTGTTGTTCCTCCCCCGAAACTTTCATGTTATAATTGTGGCAGCCAGAATCACCATGCCAGTGACTGCAAGGAGAATACAATGGAGGAGATGACAAAACAAGGTGAATGAACTAGGAATTCAGTACATAAATAAATTTCCAGTTATAGTAATGTAAGTACCTGGCTTCCTTATCTGTTGGTCTGAAGTTAAGACTATAAATAACCACTTATCCCTTTCAGGCCAGTACCGCTTGGACTATTCTCCATACCAGAAGCCAGGAGAGTGTTCGTCAGAGAAGTGACCCCAGCATTTGCCTTACCAGAAATTGGTGCCGGTTTTCCAGGCACCTGAACCGTGTCTGGTGAGCGATGAACCACGTCACTACCATTCATACGTGTACTGGAAACTGCTTCACACGGCGGGTCACGGTCGTTCCCGAGACTCGTCATGATCCTCATGAAAGGGTTGTTGCAATCAATTATAATTAACCAGTACTTGTTTACAGCTTTCTTATTTAATTGATGAGATTGCAGGATTTGTTTTATAATGTGTTGTATGGTATCATTTCCTGAGTTCTTGCCACAGAGGTGCGAGAATTGCGTCTTTTAAAAGCTGTCAGAATATATTAATATATATACAATATTGTACAAATTGTGTAAATGTCATGTAGTGTGTGTAAGATTTACAGAGGGTTTTCCCAGTGCAAACTGAAAGATGTGTGCATCAGATGTGTGCATCAGATGTGACCAGACTTAACACGACTTTTCTGTATGCCTCTTTGTGTTCGTTCATGTGGCAGAAGTCTGGTGTGCAAAGGTACAAACAATGTTCAATATACAACATGAATTGAATGGTGTTTATGTCTCCAAGTGTACTGCATTGCATGCATAGCTACTGGCATTCAAGTAATGGTTGCATTCTTGTAACTTATCCAGCCCAGTGATTTAAAGCCGGGAAATGCTGTTCCAGGTTTCCTTAATTTTTTTTAGATGCGTTATTTCATAAGTCTTTTATTTTAGCAACAGTTTGATATGTGGTAATCGGAGATAAATATTGAATATTTAACTTTTGAACTAACACTTCTGATGAAATATTTTGACGTGTTTAAATAATGAATTGCACACTACTTTATATTTCTGTTCCATTTGCTCACTCCTGTGTTCTGTTTGTCTTGGACTTTGATATTTCATTATAAAGACTATTTAGCAAGAACATCACATCCAGATCAGCTCTGGGGCCCACCCAGCCTCCTATCCTGTTGGTACTGGGGCTCCTTTCCCTGGTTATAAATTAGCCACGGGGTGAAGCTGATCACTCGGCTCAGTCTGCTGCTGAGAATCAAAATGTGTGGAGCTATAGCTCCGTTTCCCCGTACATCTTTATGATGTGCTTAATTAAGCACAGGGACAACTTTACCTTTACTCTTTTTACCAGCACAAATAAATTTAACCTACAAACAAATTAGCATTATAAGCATCACAGATGTTAGTTTTTATATAGTATTAAACACACACATACTCCAGTGGTTTGAGGTGAAATGAAGCGTACTATTATAGAAATAACTATTGTGTGTTGCCGAACCTTTTTAATGATCACATAAGTACTCATGACACAGACGTTTTTAATTTATTTTAATTTGGATAGACTAGCAGAAATTAAGTTGTATCCTTTGACGTAGCATGCGCTTCCACCAGCTGCGTGATTTGCAGCTGATGAAATTGCATTGAATAATGAGCAGTTTGAAATGAAGAACAGCTGTGCATGTAAGTAGCTTTTCCTCTGGTCTCTGAATGGAGACCATGTTCAGTGTAACTTCTTGTCCATATACTGTTAATGAAAATCGAGTCTGTTTATATTTAGTCGGAAATTGAATCGGGGAAGCTGTATGGTGGCGTGTTTGCAAAAGCTATGACTCCTGGCAACTGTCGAGAAATCTGAACTTCCACATTGCTGCAGATCATCAATTAGTCACAAAGTTATCTGGATGCAGTACTCATTAAATGGGCAGTATGGAGCCCATAAAGTCAATGTTTGTACATAAAAAAGTAAAATGGAATAAAAACAAAACAGCATACGAATGTTTTTAAGTACATATGATGTGTATATACATAATTATATGCAGTTGAGTAATGAATATTGAAATATATTTGTAAATTAAGTTGTAATGAGTGCATTAAAACATTTTACCATTATGTATTAAAAAAATTTAAATAAATAAAATGAAAACTGCAGTTTTTATATTTTATTCTGTTGATGTAATCTTTGTTTTTATGTTTAAATTTTTAGGAGTTCGGAAGTTTGCATAATTTGTGGTTATGAAAGGTTTACTTTCATAGTTTTAACTTCATCACATGGTTTTATTATCTTTTGTATCAAGGAATAGATAAAATATACATTATTTTTCAAGAAATTCCCTTAATTTTTAAAAGGAACTTTTTTAAAATAGTTTTCTTGGGCAGTCAGGCATGATAGTATGGACATTGCTGATTTCAAAGACTTATTTCATTCAGCTGCCATGACAGTATCTGAATATGCCTGTGCGGTAAACTTTATAAACAGTCTTCAAAGGATTAAAAGTTTGGAGGAAGATGATAATTTTGAGTCCATTGTTTGTGACTTTCAAGGGACACTTCATGTAGGTCACTACTTCAGTAAGGTGCATGAGGAAGTCCTGTGTTTACCCAACCTAAATGTTGTATTTTGTATGAAACTGTCTCAGTATCCTTAGCTTGGAGACTGATGAATTAGATTGCTGTCCTGGAAAGACAGAAGAAAATGAATTTCTTAAAATAATAACATTGTTTCCCTTCATTTTAATGATACACTTTGTATTCTTATATAATTTCTTCATAATTATCTAGTATGATACACTTCCTGTGTACATGCATAGCTTTGTTTTTTTAATTCAATACAATTTACTATTATTTTACAGCAAGCAGAATGTTATTAAATATTGGTTATTTTTTGTGCTTCAATTTCTTACAGTGGTAATTAAATGTACCAGGTTCATTGAAAAGAGTTAAGAGTCTGAGCAAAGTGCAAGTTAGATTTAGTGTGAATATAGAACATTGGATGGGACAAGGGTTGCACTGTATAAGTAGACAATTTTATGCAGTATCCTATGACAGGTGATCAACGCTTTACACAGGTTGGCTGCGTTGAAAAATGTATAATGTTCAGGAAGGACCAGAGCATTCAAATATCTCTACCATTATCAACCTGAAGCTAATCATTGCAATAAATGTAGCCTAAGCTTGCTGTATTAATTTGAAACTTAGGGCCTGCCTTAGTTCTGCAACAGAATAGACATTTGGTTCCAATTTTGAAAAGCCATTTCTCATAATGTAAGTGCAGATTAGTGATTCTACAAAATTGAGTCATACTGCAGTTCATTTGATCCAAGTTGCAACTTTCCCTCATCATTGATCTAACCCAGAATTGGTTTTCAAAGATAATTGTAGCATGATTATGAAAGTCATCTAATCATATTTTAAAATTATCAATCAAGGAATTAATTATTTATACACTGTGATGACTTTTAAAGTTGACACTTGCTGATCCAGCCTTATGAATAAATTAGCAATAAAAATTTCACAGGTTAATATTTTCCTACTCTTTTTGAAGTCTTGTTTGCTGCATTTAGTATGCATTGCCTAAGTTGTCTGGTGTCAGCAGTGTTGGTGTAAACCATATTTTGCATATAACCACACAAAAATATATCAGATTAAGATCTGGTAATAGTGATGGCTATGGCATTGATACTGGTTAGACCAATTCACATACATTCATTTTTAAGAGCAGAGCAACTTCCTCTGCAGTATCAGGGATCAAGTTTGGGAAAGTGAGATTTCAGATTCTCAGCCTAATGAGTATGAAGATGACTGTCTTCTGGATATTCCAACATGTAGCATGGTATAAATTTAATGTTGTTCAGCTTCTACCACATTACACGGCACAATATCTTAGAAGATTTGTAAAATTAGCAACTCTGGTGATATATGGGGGACTGGTTGGCCTAGTAAATTAAATGATAGCTAACGTTGTTACCGACTGAGCTCTTGGCAGTGGCGTGTAGTATGATAAAATAGATTAGTAATTGCACTGCCGCTGCGTATAGGTGGAAGAGCACCAGCTTTAACATGTGTCTGTGTTCATTTTCAGAAATTTGCACATAATTTTAGTAGGCGGTGTGCATGTTACATTGTTCATAAAATGAAATAGCAATGGCTCACTTGACTTTGAACCATTATTTGCAGCAGGTAGGTACTAATGTTGAACGAAATATTTAATGCAGATGACGTAACAACTTTCTTGTGTGCCTTGGCTGTCTATTTCTAACCTAAAAGATTTTGTTGACTTTGGAAGCAATGGCTCAACCTGAGAATTAAAAATATTTTGTTAGTTTAGTGAGACTGTTAAGTGCAAATTAATTTCAATTTCAGATTGACAATGCGTGGCGAAACAAGGATGGAAACTCCCTGTCGGTAAGAATTGATAATTCTTCAGTAGCTGATACTGTCTTTAAGAATGCCATGGTGTGGTGAAAAGGGGCCAATTATGGTATTGCATTGGTTAAAGTTCTTGATTCTTGTTGTTTTGGACCCACATCAGCATCTGTGGATGGGCACTAAACTATCGAATTACTGTGATATCTGTAGAGAAAGTTGAAATTCACCCAGTGATGTATTTTGAACAGTGGAGATAAGATCTGTGCTCATCCTCAGATATCAACAATAATAAATGGTGCATTAGCGTACACTGATTGTGGTCAGCTGCCTAGCTTGTTGCTGTTATATGCCACCTTTGGTACAAGCATCAACACTTCTGGATAGGATCTGTGGTGCATGGTACACAAACCTGTCATTTTATACAGAATAGTAAGTATTCTTTTTTTATTGTAGGATTATCTTTCTTTTCGTCATGGCCATGTTGCTAGTAGCAAGTTACAACTTGAAAATCCAGAATCTGCAGTAGAGAGAGTACTGGAACCTCCGCTTGATGAAATAGTAGCTGCCCATTTGAGGTTAGTGATAAGGTTTCTGTTTATTTCTTGGTATTTTAAGAATCCTGTATCAGACTAATATTATAGCTTAAATTAAATTAAAGCTGTGAAGAAGCAAACCATATGGTATGGGGGGAAGTGGTTGTGACCTGAAAGGTACTATCTGCACATTTGCGAGTGTTGATCGGCAGCCATTAAAATCTCACGACAGTATATTTTTACAGAAGATTTGCAGTTCAGTGTTATGCACACCTTTGAGTTGTGAATGAATTTGCATATTATTTTGTAGTAGTATATCAGCTTCATATCTCTGCATCAGGATACAGCAAAGTGCAAAATGTTAAAAATCGCTCTGACTGTAGATAGTACCAAATTACAGCTGACTCCAGTGAATGTGTTGACATGTTGTCTTCTTTGACATAATTGAATTGTTTCCCGTATAATAGCATCTAATATTTAATTATGTTGCAGGAGTGTATGGGCGTTGAATAATCAAGATTTTGTTGAAGCATATCGTTGCCAGGCTCTGGTTGTTCAATCATTTACAAAGTTGCTTCAGTCACAGAGAGATGAGAATTGGTCTTTGCCAGTAATGTATACGGTGTGCCTTGATTTGCGGCTTATGTCCATGCATGCCGACCGCACATTAACTGCTAAAGGAACGGGGCGACCGAAAGAAACTTTAGAGAAGGCTGCCGAGTGTCTAATGGGATGCTTCCGAGTTTGTGCGGCCGACAAGTTAGTACCACCTTCTGATTAATAATAATGAATGGGAGCTGTGCTGTAATTACACAGCGTGAGGCATGAAGAATGTCTGTTTGTTAAGCCCTGTTGCGTTCTGCAGTGTTCACCGTGAATGTTACACGATGGCAAATTTACGTACGTTAACGTACACTGCATTTCTATTTAAAAATGCCAGTTGATATCATGTGCATCTACAAAACACTGATTTTTGTATGATCTGTGCTTAACTAATACATTTATAAGGTAACCCTGTAAAAATTGTGAGCTGTGGCGCGAACAATTCAGTTTCTAAGAAAACGGAAGAATTCATGATACATCTTTCACCTCCATAGCATTTATAAAGGTACCTCATGACTTTACTTGGAATTCAAAGCATATGTATCATTGCATTCCTGTCCATTCTGAATTCTATTCGATTTTATTTCATTTTGTTATGAAGTGTCCTTGTCACTTTGTTTCTTATCTTCCAAATCTTGAAATGCGAAATTATTATTTTCCTTTCAGTCGGTCTTCAGAGGACCACACAAAACGATGGGGAATGTTATTGTTAGTAAATCAGCTGTTTAAAGTTTACTTTCGAATCAACAAGCTCCATCTGTGCAAGCCTTTAATTCGTGCTATTGACTCATCGCCCTTCAAGGAGCAGTTTGCCCTTGGCCAGAGAGTGACCTACCGATACTACGTTGGACGTAAGGCAATGTTTGACAGTGATTATAAAGCTGGTAGGTTTTAAACGGATATTGCAAGTTTCATAATGCTGTGGGTATTGTGTTTATAGTGTCTCTTCTTGGTATATTTGTATAGACGTTGGTAATACAGAATTTGGTATATATAGTTTACTTAGATTAAATTAAACTATATATTTCATTAAACAGATGTATTAAGTTTTTAATGCTGACTGTGTTAGGCAGTTTTACAATTTTTTTAATTATTTGGGTCATGTGTTTTCTTTTATTATATGCTGGTGAATTGCATCAACTTAAAATGGGTCATATTGGTTTGCTATCTGTGTGTTTTAGCCAATGCATTTAATGTTGGTGCATCTGGGTTTAAATTGAATTTTAATTTTTGTGTTTTGGGTAATATTGAAGAACTTGTTTGATTCCTTAACCTTTTCTTAATGTTTTTCTATTGGAACCGTTGGTATTCCTGTTATGTGGTTTTTTTGTAATAAACTGCTTGATTTTACTATTGTAATTTTGTTGTTATATGTAATTTTTAGTAAATACTAAATTAGTGTCTGTAATTTCTGATTTAGGTTTCTTACTGTTATCATCTCTTGTTAATGCTGTCATTTTTTCTTCCTCCCAGCTGATCAGTTCCTGTCCTTTGCTTTTGAAAAATGTCATAAGAGGTGTTGGCGAAACAAACGGCTGATTCTGATCTATTTGATTCCTGTCAAGATGCTTCTTGTAAGTAGTTTGCTTTTGAACATCACTTCTGTTGCACACTACAAACTTTCTGAATCATTTGTAAGTAGTAATATCATAAATAAATTTATATTTGTTATAAATTATTTATTTTTTAGCATACTTAATTTTGTATAAGGCTTTACTTGTTGTATATAATAATATCCATTTATCCACATGTGGATTTTTATGAACCTTGATATGAAGATGTTACCATATGACCTTAATACTTATATAATTTCTACCATCAGTTATACCAACACAGCAGCTCCGTTAAGTTGTGAGCTGCGAGCGATACTAGTGTCACGATTTATAGTGTCCCAAAATTTTACGTGGTTAAAACATCTTTAAAAAATATGCAATTTTTTTTGTATAACATTCTTTGCTGTTCTGGTTCTAGCATGGGTTGATATCAATGATTTTTGAATAACAGGGAGACAGGATCGCCAAAATATCGGCAGTAAACACCACTTCGCCATGACCCAACAACAGGTTCAGCATCAGAAATAAACTGGCACGAAAGCCTCAGATCACCCATGTAATACATTTAGAAGCTTATTTCTGAACATGCATTTAAATGTATGTGTGGATGTTCGTATTAGGTTCTATATTCGATTCTGCAAACATGTGAATGGTTGTATCAAATGATGGTCTGATTGAGATAAAATGGTTCTTGTTTAGGGTTACATGCCAAGTAAAGCCGTACTTGAGAAATATGATCTCAACCAGTTTGTTGAGGTTGTTGAGGCTGTGAAACAAGGGAATATTCTGCAACTCAACAAGTCAATTCAACTGCATGAAGTATTTTTCATCAAATGTGGCATCTATCTTCTTCTTGAGAAACTTAAAATTATCACATTCAGGAATTTATTCAAGAAAGTGTAAGTATCTGTAAATAAAATAATTTTAATTGAGTAATGAAAATGACAGGCAAGTGGTTGGCACTCCTGCTTTGAATTTGGGAGATCCCATGTTTAGATCTTGGTGTGGAGATTGGCTATCTTGTCTGAGTTATACTGTGGTTTTCCTTGGTCTGTCCAAGCAGGTACCAGGATATTAGAATGCCCCCCCCCCCCACCCTCTGATTCTGGTCTTATGGGTAGGGGACCTTGGAGACTCTGGACTTTGACATTTTCTTTTTGTACTGTAGTGGAAGACGCAATTATCATGGCTAATTATCACTTTCTCCAAAAGATGGTACTTCCAACAATCTTGCTTAAAGTTTTCAACAAATTTATGTTTTTGACAAATAACTGTTCCAATAAAACTTACAAAATAAGCTGAGTTACAGTGACTGTCAACAGAGGACTGATGCACGATCTAGTCGCATGATACAGTACGTATCTGCTCACCAGTTGCATTTTGCTGCACATAAATGTCAGTGTTTGTTATTCAGTTGTCAAACCAAATGTGAAAGTTTTGAAAAAGGAGTGCACTGTGCTGTACTTTATTTAGGAGAAGCTGTCACAGTTGTCGTACACCAACAGAAGGATAACGCCAGCTGTTTCATTCACACTGAACCACTTCAGTTGTAAGACATTTAACACACTGATGAATTTCTCATTAAAATGTTCTCAGGCATTACTCTCATAATATCACCATGGACTTTTGGCCTGAGGAGTTCCTTCGCTTACCACAAATTTACCTTTCCAGACATTTCCATTTGATTAGCTGGTTATGATGCTGACTTCTGTATTTTTTGTTTTTACTTACAGCCATCTCCTCATGAAGACGCATCAGATACCAATAGAGTCTCTGTTAATGGCTCTCAGGTACAATGAACTGAAGGATATTGATTTGGATGAAACGCAGTGCATTGTTTCGAATCTTATATATGAAGGAAAAATTAAAGGATACATCTCTCACCAACATAAAAAGTTGGTCGTGAGTAAACAGAATGCATTCCCAGGTCTCAATACATTGAGTTAAAAATGTGTGTGCGAAGTACAAATTACAGGATAAATTATCTGTAAAATGTTTTAGTTCTCTGTGACAACTTTGGCACTTCAAGGTCAAATGTTGAAAAGTTAATCTAATAGATGTAATTTTTTTATAATTTTTTTTATACAGTTTAAATAAATTGTATCTTATGATACAACTTCTCACATTAATTCTAGAGTTTTCACAGTGTTTCATATTCTTTGCTTGTGTTCGTTGCATCATGTGTCTGACGAATGGTGATATGTACCTTACAGGAATGAAGGTGCTTGGCTTATTCTGTCATATTTAAAATAAATTTCTTACTTCGGTTCAAGATTAAATATTAACAGTGGTGGAAATGTGTAATCTGTAATAGAATAGACAGAGGTTACACTTCTATTCATTGCATTCTGGATGCTTCTTGCTCAGAATATTTTTGGTGAAGCAATAAATTTTAAATGGTGTGTAAGATTAATTTTGATACCCCTTTTTGATCTTGACTAAAGAAGAAAAATATTGGGAGTACTACATCCCACATGGCTAATAAATAATTCTATGAATGTCTCAGCAGAATTTTTGGTGAATGAGTGATAAGTAAAGTATTATTTTAATCAGAACAGCTGATCGTACAAAATATTGGTGCATAAAAATGTACAACTAATTATAATCTGCAACTTTATTTACATAATTCTTATGTGGTGTGTGTGTACAAACTTAAAAATAAGTTATGGCTTATACAGTCCGGTAACAAGTGTGATTTGTTTGGTGCAGTATATCTGGAATATGTGTACAGCACTTCCTGTGGCAGTTTTAGGAACTCTGTGTTGAGGAAGGAGATTGGTATAATGCATTTTTCTTATAAAAAGAATAGGTGACCCTTAGTGTATGTTGCTTTGAGTTGTCTCTTGGCTTCTGCTTCCACCAGCGCTCTTAATGGTTATTAATTTCAGGCTTGAAGAGAGTTATGTGGTATGAGAAATTCATACCTTGATGTTCGTATACTCCTTCAGTTGTCGCAGGTTAAGCCGTCTGGTTTGTGCCAAATTCAAATACCTGAAACAGTCTCTGGATAGACATTTGGTAAGACTCTTTGAACTGAGTAGTGGTTAATTGCAAGGATATCTACACATTCACCATCAGATAAGAAATAAGACAATGATGATATATCTGGAATCTCGTCCAAGGAGTCCCACCGAATGTCTATAGATCGAGCCAACGAAAAGTTGGGACCCACAGTGCTCAGGCACTTGAAGAACGCATCGTTCCCAGTATATCTGGAATGGAACGAATCGTGGTTTTATTTGCATTAAGTGAGACGAAAGAATGATTAGGTTTGTTGACCTGCAAGAGGCCATGTAAGTACAGGTATGTGTTTTATGCCGAACGTAAATATATCTTATTTCTATTTGGTCTCATGCTTGTGCGTTTTATTGATGTAGCTATTGTAGTGTCTGTATTTCTTCCGATTTCGCACTTTGAAAAACTGAAGGATACGATGCGGTACTATAAGGCTCCTTCATGGCTGTTAGGTTATGTCTCTTAATTTTGAAATTTCTGTTGACATAAGTACTACTTACTGGTTAAAGATATAAAGTTGAACGAATTGTTGACTATGGTTTAAAATATTGGTACACAAGGAGACTACATCGAACGTGACAGCAGCCATTAGTGTGTATTTAAATATAGTTTTTAGGGGGGGGGGAGGCATTCCAGGAACTTAATTGTCACATCTCATTCATAAAAGACACATACTACATTTGTTTACATCAGGACGGTGATGGGAGAGGTTCTGTGTTGTAATAATAAGCGACAACATTCCAAATTCCATTGTTATAAAATTTGATGTTGCTAACAAGTCGTTGCTAAGCAGTGTACAAATAGAACTTTGTGAGGAAGGATGTCGTTTTCGAAGTCCACAGTTCCAAGGTGTCAACAAGATATTAGTAAGTATATTAATTTTATTCTTAGTCATACATGAATCCATTTTAAGTCCTATGTTAAATCTCGCATTATGTTATCCGCATGTTTTGTTGCGTAATTTACATACATGATTAATATTTCCAAATATACAGAGCTTGGATATAAATGCAGTATATTATATCCATGCTCATACGTTATTATATCGTGATTCCATTTACTGGTAAAAATGATAAACTCAATACACAGTTATCAATAGGTGGAAGCAGTGTACATTCCACACTTCCGTCCACACAACACAAATTTATACTTGTAACAGTTAAATTGTATAGTGACATATTTTGGCAGCTGCATGTCATCAGACCATTGGTTATAAAGGTACATTTTGTTACTCAATTTCCTAACTAATAGAGTGCAATTTTAAGTTTCAAAGAATATGATCTGTAATGCATTCTGTGGTTAGGCTGTGCGCCCCCGCCAACAAGGTACGAGCCACAGAGCCTCTGTTAATTGCACAATATTAACGTTTATATCAGTATCATGTTCCTTTGTGATTAAAATGTTTCCATACTAAACCACTGTTCATGTGTCATTCATTCACCGTGCAATCATTAATTTTGGCTGTCCCTTTACTTATTCTGTTATGTTTGTATGCAGAATCGAAATATGAGAAGCAAGAAGCTCGGCTCTTGACTGAACTGCATGCTCTTCGGATGCGGCTGAAATCAGCTAAGGACCACATAAAGGAAGCAGAGGACAAAGCCGAATTGATGGAGAAAGACGTCAAAGCAGTTGTAAGTAATAAGTGCAGATCCAAAGGTTTTGTTGTCTTGGGTACAACTCCTTGTGATTGCAGAATTTACCACTTAAATGTAAAAGAGACGAGAATTTGTGGTCTTTGTGGCTAAGTACCACACCATGACGACAGGGAGACTGGAGGTGAAGCTTCCACACTTTATTAAGTTCGGTGCTGCCTGAGGGTGACCAGTCGCTTCCACTGTCTGGTCACTTACCCCAGAAAAAGAGAACCTGGTATTTGCTGGACAGGATGCTGGGTGATGAACTGCTTAAAAAACTGGTTTCCTCCCAGGCCCTCCTGATCGGTCATTCATGATCATTCCTGTGAAAGTAACCATAAGCATTATAGTGAACTTCTGTTGTCTTGCATTTGGCTTTAAATTCAGGAAGCCTGGGGCTTTATACTTATTCTGGAGGTCAGCTACATCCTTGTTTGTTTGTTTGTTTGTTATTTTCTACCCATTTATTCTCAGTCTGTAAAAGCAAATGAGGGCTAGATCCTTAAAATAAGTAATTTCTGATTTAGGCTGTCATTGACAGTCTTGGATCCATTTCCCTTGATATTGTCATTTTATTAACCTTCAAATCACATGTGTCCGTCAGAGTTACTTAGCTCCGTTCCCAGAGGTTGCCTCGCCAATACTGAGTATGCATTTTTTAGTCTTTTACCACAAGTACATGAACAGCACCCTCTACCTACCTCAATTAGACTACTTTGAAATTGGGTGACCTATATAAACCGTGAAGTCTTTTATTATGTTGCATCTCCTATTCCCCACTTACGCTATCCCTCATGGGTCCAGGTATTTTACTGGACGCTTTCTTCCCAACACATATAACAGTCTTATCACAAAATAAGAGGCCACATTTCACAATTACACAAAACAGCAGACAAAAGTACCCATTAGGCCTTTACAGTATTAAAGTCAGATGCATCGGTTTCTTTGAAGGTTTAGGTTTGCAGCCTAAACAAAATGTATCTTCTCTTTTAGCGGATCTTCATGTGTGAGCTGCAGGCATCACTAACAGACACCAAGAATCAAAATGAAAAGTTGGAAGAACTAATAAGGCAGGAAAATTCGATGGTTGAACAGACGGATTGTGTGATGTGTCAGCAATGCAAACGTTCGAAGGGTTGGGGGAAGTTGACTTAGTCACTGAAAGGAATGCTGCAGCAAGACAAACAGGCAGACCAGGTATTGGCTGTTTCATGGTCTAACCTTGCATTTGTCTGGAGAGACTGAATAAAATCACAAAAACTTCAGTCCTGAACAATCAAGAGTAGTTGATGCCACATCTTTTAAATGCTCTGTATCATGGCATTATGAGATTGATTGTCTGTATGTGACGTTTTAGTGCGTTCAGTGCGGCAGGTAACGCTTCATGCATTAAGTGATGCAAAATACAAAATGTAGAAGTAATTCATACAGCCGTTGTTCATGTTCAAGGTGGGCAAGGAGATTTCAGCGCAAGCAGGTGAACTGAAAAAATTGTACCTGAGAGCAGAGAGAAAAGTTACCGAGGTGGCACGTTTGAAAGAAAGACTGAAAAAAGTGCAAGAGGAGAGAACGAGATTCCAAGCACAAGGCGCACATATTTCATAGTTGGAGTGTGTCTGTGTGTGTAAGTATATCTATAATCTATATGTAAAGCAAGTTTTGTTTTTATATTTAAAATTTAAAATTCTGAGGTTTATGTATATTAATTTGTAAAATTATTTTTGATACTTGTATTGCAGAATCTGGAGTTTATTTACATTGATATGTGAAATACGTTCTTGTACTTGTGTCAAAAGTTTTGAAGTTTATGTGTTAATATATTGTATGAAATGACGTGTTCTACGTCCTTTGGTTGAGTCCTAAGAAGGATCTATGGAATGTAAATAAACTCTACTGTACTCTGTACTCAACAAATTTTTTCATGCCATGCCCAGCTTATTCATCACCCTGATGATGAAGGTGGTAACCACCTCTGAAATGTTAGTAAACGTCTACCAGAGTACATGGTGCAGCATCCCAGAAGACGTCTTTGTTCTCACTGCCAAAAGAACCTGAAATATCACAAGTGTACATTCTAAATGTAATTTTGTGAATCTCAATAGGGAATGTATAAATATAGTTTGAAAGTGCAAAATAAATTATCCTGATTTTAATGTTTAACGGAATTGGTGATAACCCAAAGTGCTTTCTCATAGCTTGAACATTGTAATATTTTTAATATTTTATCCAACATCTTATGAAATGGCCATATTACTTAAAAATTTCTACCTTCCACTTTAGCAAATGCTTTTAAACCTGAGAATAAATGTTTCTACTCTAGGTCAAATTTCCTATGCTTTCAGGTACATACCTATTATGAACAACTGTAATAAAATCACAGGGATCCATGTGAATATTAGCTGTTTCAAATATCTATAAAATTTAATAGTCATATCCATTAATTTTGAGCACTTGAAGGGAACCACCTGAAAATGACCAATTAATGTTGAAACATGTAGTGGATCTTGATAAACATTTACACTATAATCAATAATTGTTGTGTATATGGCCTGTCAATCTAATGATCAACACCTAATAGGATGCAACCCTTAAAAGCTCAAGGATCACAAGATATTCCACCATGCATTTTATTACTAAGAGCACATTAAATTTCATATTTAAATTTGAAAAGGGCTCTATCAGTTACGTGACTAAATCTAAGTTTTTCACTTTCAAGGACATTGTTGAGTTTAAAAACTCACTCTCTTATACAAAACTTTATCAAATATTTTAGACAATGCTGTTATAGTAGTGAAATTGGCCTGGTAATTAGACTTTGATGATTTTTCACCTTTCTTGTATAGTTGTTTAACTTTTGATTATTTAAGTTGTTTTCGGAAAACCCCTAATGCCAAAAATTAATTCATATGGACCTGTCATCAGACAAAACACTAAATAAAAAAACAGTGGTCTGGCGGTTAGAACACTGGCCTTGTAATCCTAGGGTCCCGGGTTCAATTCTCGGTGGTGCTCAGATTTATAACTTGTGTTGGGCAAGGCCGTGGTCTAGGCAACACGGAGTTTTCCTCCGTGGCATCCCAACAATTACTCCATTCACACACAGAAGAAGGCAATGGCAAACCACTTCTGGATCATCTGCCAAGAACGTATATGAACAGGTCCCAGTCCGAGAAAAGGATGGAAGGATGCTGTTCATATGGACCTGTCGTCAGACAGAACACTAAATAATAAATAGAATGTAATAAAGATGTATGTATGTAATGTTGGTAGTTAACGTAGTTACCGACTGAGCTCTTTGCAATGATCATCGCCAGGTATTCAAGTTTAATTACCGCTGTGAGTAGATGGCAATATATGCGTAACATCGTAGGTTATCTATAGCGAAGACAAAATTGACAGATTGCGGTGGTGAAATGTGTGTTGCAAACGTAGTGTTTTTCTAACCAATAAATTTTATACGAAAGTAAGTTGTGGTCTGATGTAAGAGTTCGTTTCCTTACTCTTCGCCGAGAAATAAATCTCTACATTTCCAATGGATATTTTAAAGCCAGATTTAATGTGGATAGAAAAAAGATGTTATAGACTAAATTTTCAAGATTCGTCTTTCAAAGGGGAAGTGGATGAGCAATTTACGGATGGGTTTGCAGAGGAAGGTATGTTTTCTGCCAAACGTGAAAACACGTAGCTGTTAAAATTGTTTGTATGAGTTCTATGTCTTAATTAAAATCGGAGTTATAAGCATTTTACAGAATCTGAATTTCGGAATTTCAACATGCAGTAATCTTGAAATTAATAAATATAAGAAGGGAGAACTTCATATTATCACTTCCTTATCAGATTCTGTATGGACACCAAAATTTAATGAAATCCAAGGTGGTCTTGTCATCTGTTGTGTTTCTTTGACATGGAATGACCTGATATCATCCAGTATACTCCTTCTGAGTCATCATATTTTCCATTTCAAAGATTCAAGATAATTGTCACCTAAAATCAGCCAGATTGAGTACCTTTTACTAGTTTTGTCTTGAGCATCAAACAACTATATAAAAATTACTTGATTCTTGGTCCAGTTTACAGTTCAACTAAATTTATTCTGCCATTATTGCAATGCTACCACCTCTGAATTTTGCTGGAAGGAAGAGCCTGTGATTGATAAAGATATTTACTATTTTCAGATACTGAGTGCCCATTTGAAGAGCAGCGTGATTATTCTGAGATTGAAACCATAGAAAATGGAACATACAAAACATCCCTTTCTGTACCACGGTGAGCAGTTATCTTTTCCAAACTGATATGTGCATTTTAAATTGTTTTCAGGTATTTGAGGAAAGGAATTTAATTTGTATGGAATTTATTTCTTACAGATTTTATTTTGCTTTTGTGATCGGTTCTAAGGGCGTGGTGCGTCGTCGACTCGAAAGTGAAACTAAGACTCAGATTCGTGTTCCAAAACAAGGACAAGATGGATATATCGGTACAAACAGTGGTTTTAATTAATGTTTAGAAGGCAGGATTTTTTTTTTGTATTTAGTAATAGCCAAAATAAGATTTTTTATGAAATAGATTTACATGTGTGTGTGTAACAGTGACTGAGAATAATCATAATTGGTAATGAAAAATATATAAAAGTTTTACATGAAGAAATGTCTAATTGCTTAATGTCTGAGAGTTTTCCCCTTTGTGTAGAATAGGCCATAATTTACTTGTTTTACATTTATTCAGTATTTTTTGGGAAGGAAAATGCTCGGTAAATGGAGTTGTGGTTATATCTTTCTTAAACAGAAATTTATCAGAGAATGGAGAAAATGTTCAGGTCTCTCAGGATTTTGTTACAAGCAGATTTTCCCGTATCATGTATTTTGATTGTGTGTTATTTAATTGCAGTTATTACTGGTGGTACTAAAAGTGGGGTATCTGCTGCGCGGAGGAGGATCGACTTGATCGTTATGTCAGCACGTCAGAAGCAACAGTTTACTCACTTTATTTCTGTACCTTTTATAGGAGATTCCATAAGGAAGAGGTTTGTGGAATTCAAGGTAAACACCATTTCATATATATTATGTATGTCATCCGCGTGTGTTCTCGATTTATGTTTTTTGTGTTGAAAAAGCACCATCACTTGCGCACATCCCACCTTGCGCAATGTTTGTTACGCTATCGTTTCTTTGTTTCAAGGTGTTGTGCGTGTCTGTGAAAACAAAATATGTTTTTTGTGATGTAAGAGTAATTATTGTGCAAATGAAGTGATTGCGCCATAAAATTAAAATACAAGTCACCAGCCCAACATTTGGGACTTGTGGTTCGGTTCTCGGAAAGAAGCAGATGGCCTTTCTGCCTTCAGAGTCCTTGTCCGCGTATCTACACTAGTTTTTTGTTTCAACAGGTCTATCTTAATTAGCAGTTGTAAAACCTTCAATTTCTGCTTAATTAATATAATTTGCAGGAAAGCGTTCTTCATATTTGTAAGAACAGTCGAGGCATTGACGCGTCTATTTTTCAAACACCAGAGAAATTGCACCTGACTCTTGGTACATTGGTGATCATGGATGCAGTCGAACGAGAAAAGGCAGCTCAGACTCTGGCGGAATGCAAAGAGAGTGTTATTGCGTGAGTTATTATTTATTAAGCGTATCAAAAATGTGCACTTTGTGGCAGTCTTCAAAGCCTCATTCATTCAAAGAAATCCTTTTGGCCCTGTAAAGTAGTGTTAACAGAATCCCTAATAAAACATAATACCACGGGCGTGGTAACCACTGACCAGCCCGGATTTTATGGGATATTAAAATTTCAAGTGAGATTTTAACTGCGTTATAAGGGGCGGATCCCTTTTTGATTTTACTGCATTAGGAGGAGCAACTGGTTATCATTCATAAATTTTTTTAGATTAGCATTAATAGCTTTTACGCACTTGTGTGTTCTCGTCTTCTGACAACTTAATGTTTTACAGACCGTTGCTGCAGAATAGGCCGTTGGTCGTCTGTATGGTCGGTGTTGAATATATGAATGATGACCCCGCAGAAGTGGATGTTCTGTACGGGAAAGTACGTGTTAAAGACAGGTCTCAGGTGTTGCAGCAGATAGCCGATCAAGTTGCAGATCGCTTTTCGTCTAAAGGTTCGTTACTTCTTTAGTACTTCGTCTGTATTCAATCCAGTTTTATTTTTATTACAGTTTTCTGTTACAAAACACGAGACATGCCATTGAAGCGCATAAGCAGAATAATACTAGAATGTTGAGAGTCAGAGAATTAATGGCGTGGTCGTAGGTGGGAATGTGTAGGCCTTCTCAGATTTGACAGCCGTTCAACAGTACAGAAGCTACGCTGCATTTTGAAGGTTCGAAGCCAGGCATTTTAGCAGAATAAATGTGGAATGAGTTTCCAGTGTTTGGGCAATTTTTTCTGCCTTCATCATCAGATCATTTCTTAAAGATGAAGACAGACGAGATACAGTCTCTGAGATACTGGAAGCATTTTCTGTATTGATGCAGCTGGTTGTCCAAGAAGACTTTATTGTACGCTGCGTATAGTCACGAATTTTGTGAGATGAATGACTGCGTAACACCTCAGTATTCCTGGCCATAACTTTGGCTCAGATGAAATAAATCATACAACGTTTGAAACGGTTGATGTAGACATAACCTAATTTTGAGAATGAATGATTTTGAAAAAAAAGACCCCAGCATGTTTTCCACGAATATATACAGTACGTGTATTTTATAAATATTGTACATTTTTTTGTTAGGTCTGATGCAAAAGCAGTACGAGCAAGTAAAACTACACGTGACGTTGATGAACACGCGTTTCCGCAGTGAAGAATCTGAGCCTGACATATCCGGAGGGAAGCGGAAACCTCGGGAATCATTCGATGCCACGGGCATTCTTAAGGTTTGTGTAGCTTTTATGGAGTTTTTCAGGGTCTTAATGAATGCTTGTGTTTTCGACTGTACTTGTTTTCCCCAAGTGTGGTAGGAATAAGCTAATGAAAACTTGGATTTTATGCTGCGTCGTAGCAGCAGCAGTTCGAACATTCCGTTAGCTGGCATCATTACTCAGGACTTCTAAGTTTTGTTGCATTCAGTTCTGGCTTGGGTTCTGTCCTCGTCCTAGCAGCGGTTTGGGATTTTTCAGAGCGTGTCGCGAATACTCTGTCGTGTGATGCTGGATGGACGGCAAAGGATTCAGCGTTAAGAATGTTTCTTAGTGAGGGCCAGATTTTGACTAGGCCTTTGCTTAACGGGTGGCTTGTTCTTAGTCTGTGTGATTACGCTCCTGAAATGTGTGGTACAGTTTGAACACAGAATAAAGTTCCAACTAATAATATATCACTGGAACGAAAATTGTTGTATTTGCTTTATAGAGCCATTTTATTTGTTGTTTATATTTACTTCTTGTGCATTCTTACCATGTTTATTTTCAGAATTTTTGTGATTTTGACTTCGGAGAACAGACCGTCGATAGCATACATCTATCTCTGCGATTTTCTACGTCTGGCAGTAGCGGCTACTATCAAGCCACTGCAAGTGTAAGCTTTTCGTGAATAACAAAAAGAATTTTGAGAAATACGCGCTTACAGAGCGCACGACCAACCAAGGTGAGGTACGAGGAGACGGAGGCTTTGTTGTTTCGTTAACGTAAGAGATTTTTAAATTATTTCAGTGTGATGTGTTGCAATGAGGTAATGCAATCAGTGATGCTGAATACTATTACTTAACGAGTTGACGATACTAGTGGAAACTATTTCTTTTGCATGTGCGTCCCATGTCCCTTTCTTACTTCTCTGTATCCTTTTTGTATATTTTATCCCTCTGAAGTACTTCTTAAGGTGACCTAGTGATAGCACCGCTTGTACAGTGAGAACGTGATTAGTTGTCGTGCCTTCTCACGTGTCAATATGTTGACTGTTATTAGAATAACGTACAGCGTAATATTTGAAATTTGTTGTTTGCCGAATGCACATTAAACATGATGCACTGTGCAAAGAAGTGTAGAGCTGAAAACGTGTTGAAAGAAATTAACCTTGAGGATTGTTACCACTAATATTCATGCTCGCTGCGTACAAGTTGTAAGATTTTTTCGTAACGTTGTCAGCTTACGTGTTTTATGCCGGGTCGGAGGTCTGTACTTCACCTCGTGGTGTTTGAGAATCGCAGTAAACAGTCGCTGTGACGCACACACACGTACCAGTAGTTTTACTACCGGTTGTGAAAACATGAGTGTCTTCGTCAAACTTTAGTTGCCTACAAAAATTAATTTAACAGTAATAAATAAATAGAACAGGAAAGAACCAACCAGCTCTCATTTTTCCTGTGTGATATTTATGTCTTCTCTCAGTAAATTAACGTCATTAGCGTAGACCAATCCCTGACATGTTTTATTCAGTTCTACTGCCTCCTGATTTTCTTGGATTCTTTAGTGGTTACTCAAGAGTGGAAAATTAATTTTGATAAAGCTCGTTGTTGTTGCAGACCATCCTGAATATTTCGTTATTGGTTGGTTAATCTATGTGACTACAATCCACGCATAAACCCCAGTAATATCGTCTATGGATACATTTGACCTTCCCAGGTGTTTGTGTGTTCAATAAACATCGTAAACAACAACAAGGCACTTTGCCTTCTTAACTGATACATGGAACAGACATTGAAATATTCTTACTCTTAATTACATTTCGGTTCTAAAAATGAATTAATGTAAAATTTCCTATTAATCACTACCACGACGTTAAATGACGAGCAACAGACAGATCAGTCTTAGTCAGGGCTACTCAACCTTTCCCAGATCATAGCGTAGTGAGAATATTTCTTAACCTCTACAAATAATTAACATGTGCAGGTTATGTGCGTTTAGTAAACAGTGTGACACGTTGAAGGTCAAATTGGTTTTCTCTCCTTTCACTGAATTAGCACGTACCTTAGATCAACTGAGTACGTCTTGGTGAGTCTGAGAGGCAAAGTGTCGTGTAGTGAACTGGATCGTTTCAGGATTGTTTGTATAAATTATTCACGGGCCGTGCGAGGAAAAATTGTTTGCGATGTTATCAATTTTGTGGTAAGCATATCTTATGTGGTGATGCTCGCTTTTGTATGAAAACAACGTTATTAAAGAATTTCTCAGTGTCTTACTGTGGCTGTCGGGTACAAGCCGACTGTTTTTAATTGAGATAGATGAAGCAGAAATAAATAAATTATCTGACGTGTCTCAATTCAGCCTTGTGCCTGAAACATATTGAGATATTTCTAGTTCATTCCGCCCATTGTGTGAGATACGGGAAGTAAGTTGTGTTCGCCGAGATTTTTAGCGTCATTTCCTTAATTTTAGGAAAATTCCATAATAGTCCCTTTAAAATGCTCCCTTCCACGTCATCTGTGGTGTCGTGAAGCCCTGAATGTCTGTCTTCTGCATGTTTTTGTCCCATTAACAGACTTCACTGGAGAATAAAGAATGTATCTACGGCCAAAGTTACATTCTGTAGCAAACATTCTTCGTAGTTAATGAAATTCTAAAAGAAAATTTGCTCTTTGCGTCGAATGTGTACGGAGGTGGGTTATTAGCTCATCGTTCATCTGGCTGCTGCGGCGAACTTTGTACTGATTTCAGAATTTGAGCGTAGGGATGAAGTAGCAGAACTCGGTACAAGATATCGGCGACTAAACGATCTAAAATAATCAAGTTATGGGCTCAAGTGTCTCATTTTAATTCGGTTGATGATTTCTGATCATGGTCTTAAAGTAAGTTACTTCAAGTTGGTTTATCTGAGGTAACTCCAAAAATGCGCTACTAGTAATGAAATATTTATCACATTTGAGGTTCTTATGGCAGGGAAGATGTCCGTGGCGGCTTTCTGGGTCGCAACGTGAAGGGACCCATATGCAAGGCACCACGACCCAGAAAACCAATGCGGACGATGGAAATATTTATCTGTCAGTTTCTGCGAATGTTCTGTCGATGGCAGAGAGCGAAGAGCTGATTCTTCTCTTGAATTGCACAGGAAACGTGCGGTGCAGCTGGCATGATGATGGCGACTTGAAAGGAGAAGAAGCACGCTGACACTTCTGTCAGACGTATAAGAAGAAGATGGCCGCAAGAGATTTGCAAGGGCCCCATTCCATGGCAACTGCGAAGAACTTTCTATGTAAGAACAAGGCAATGAACTACGAAGCGTGACGAGAAAATTCTCGAGTTTGGTAGAGCGTCTGAGAGCGATGTCATATGTGTAGTGGTAAAATTTATATTTTGTCGGTAACGTTTCTAAAAGAGTGCCGACATCATTTATACTTCCAGCCTGCTTTCTTCGAGCACACTGATTAAAAGCTGTCGTAATTGTAACATTTAAAACAGGATGCGTAGCTTTGCCAGCGTTTCGCCAAACCCTTGCGTGTAGTTTGAGATATAATAAGAGAAAATTCTTGTAGTGCGCTAGGCTCTCTGCATGTTCGGAGGACACCCTAGATGCCAGCAGCCTCTTCGTTTTCATTCTGTACGGTTTTATTGACACTTATTCAACTTCATTCGTAATACGTTATTTAAGTTAGTGAGCGGATTTTATACTAGAACTGAATTTCTTATTTGTTGTCTGTAACTAGCATTTTGCTTTTGTTAATAATTTTATTGCATGTTTCTAGTGGGGCTTCGCTCGTGCCCAGTGTTTTAGGAGGTCTAACTCCCCTTCTTGACCCGAGGCTTCGCCGCCAATGCGTAATCTGAGGTTCTTACTTCTTTTAATTTCATGCTTGAAGTGTTTGGCACAGAAGAATCAGGCGTCTGTCGAAGTGCGTACATAAAATGTTTGCTTAAATCAAAGTAGGAAAATTATAGATAATTTCTACACAATGCCTGTGTTGATGCACTGGGTTTTGGTACAAAGTTCTCTCTGCGTGTTAGAACCATATCGCGAGGCCTGTCTTGGGTCAAAACGATGACGTCATGGTGCTCGGAATATCTCAATATGAATACTACAGTTTCCTGTTATAATTTGACGTATGTATAACCATTAACTTTACGTAAAAATTCAAGCCAATTAGTATTGTCGTTCTCTGGAAATTGTCATTGTTTGTAACAGCCATACAATACGACAATGAACGAAAAAAGAGGCAAAGTAGACCAAGAAATGGCCCGGATCCATGATTGCGATAAAGTAATGATCAGTGCACTTCCGCGTAACTGCCAATTAGTCTGAAACGACTTCCGGTATAAAATGCCATAATCGATTAACGCGATTACGAATTCAAAACGCGACGTTCTCATTTTAATATCGAATGTACGTGACTTGTTTTTTCGACTTAAAAACCGTAAATAACGCCTGAAATGTATTAATGAATATCAGATATCGTAATTGATATATCAAAGCGGATTTGGTAGTCCACCAGACAAACCGTAACACGGTGCACCAATATAGAAATCTCAAGAAGCAATTATTGCAAGTTAATGCTTTCCACATCATTAGCAACTACAAGCGTTCCTGCGAGAATCGCACAACCAAGGTAAGACAATGCAACAGAATATTTTCATAAGCATTTTAATGAAAATAGATTTGGATACGCTTGCAATGTATGTGATCGGTTATGGTTTGAAGATGATTTGAAACAAGTTACTGACAGCGATTTAGATTTATTGGGTACGGAGTACGTATTTACGTCAGACTCTCCGGGACCGTGGTTTCACTGTCAATTTTTCCCAGTCTTCGGGTCGTTGAATGTGCCTTGCGGTACTTTCAACTCGTGAAGTGTGTGTGTGCTCAAATTACCAAAACAGCTCAAACAAATAGACTGAGAGCGACAGTGTGTCCAAAGTCAAACACCGGGTAAACAATATCGATCTTTCAGTGGAGACGCGTAGCGCGGGGTAACTAGCCAAAAGTGTACAAAATAAGATGTTTACATAACAACACTTGTGACAAGCGACATCAGAGTAGCGTCTTACTTTACAGGAAGATAAACGTCGAGTCCCAAGTCATGCAGCAGTCTTGTTCTCAGCGGTTTCTGCTAGCAGTTGTGTATCGCGTCTAGCACGGCGTGCCCAGTGTAACAATGTGAGGTTAAACTTCTCCAATTACGAAACACATAGAAACTGTTCAGGCCATACAATTACTTAACGGTACTGAAATATGATTGAATGGGCATTCTGTTAGCCAGTGCGTATGCGGTGATATTTCCGGTTATTTATGCTTGTGTCTGTAATTATATGCATAAAAATGACACCTGCAAAAGTGGTTACTGACAACAATGTTGCTTACTACCATACGTGCCAGTACAGTTCTCTGCAGCGACTTCAACGTAAGTATAAATTCGTCTTTCAACGAACATCATGGCCACGTAATTTATTAGGAACCACTACGAAAATGAAGTTGTTGCTTCGGAACGCGATTTTCAGCCAACTCTGTGCGGGCAAAGTCCTTAAGAAGATGGTCGCCAGGCTATTTGAAAAATTCCTCGCCGTTCGTGGAATGAAAACATTTGTAACCGTGTTTACAAGAAACCACCATCGGACCCACATTATCTAACTTTATTTCTTTGACATGCGTTGTAATATTTTCCTTTACCCACGTCCTCCATCTCGGACAAAACATTTTTATTTGTTGCTGATGGCTTTTGTGCGTGCTGCATGGAAAGCCCATCTCATTCTCGATTTGGCCTACGCGTTTATTAGAACCACAATATTCGGTGTTTCGCCTAACGCGTCAGTCATTATCGCGGTTTGAATAATTATATTTTATAAACAGAAGTTAGTAAGTGACATTTTGATTGCCAAGCTACTAATAGATTGCAGCACGGATAAATGTGATATCAAGTAATTCACAATGGCCATTCATAGGTGGCAGCGCTAATGACTTGTTTGATCAGTGGCGGATGGCGTTACGAGTGTTGATTATGGGTAATTGTATCATGTCGGAAGATTATCCTCACGATTTTGAACATCCAACACGTTTGTTTGTAGGTTGTATGAGTTTGGAGTAGTCTCCGGTTGCATAATGTCTGCACCAAATTTAATGAAAATCCGTCCGTTCTCGAATTATGTGGCAGAACTTGAATCACAAGCCTTATTGAGAAGCTAACAGTCGCACAGCTAGTCCGAGAAAGTCCCTGCCTTCTACAGAAACCAAAGATGCACTACGCTGTTCACAAGAGTCCGATACCGGCTACTAACCTCAGCCATATTAATCCAATCGATACCTTCACCCCTTGGTTCTTCAGTACCCATATTAATATTATCCTCCTGTCTACGGCCAGGTTATCTTCCAAGCGGTCTCTTACATTTCCGACTAAAATTTTGTATGCACTTCTCGCCTCTCTACGTGACCACCCATCACAGAGTCGTTCAATCAGCACGACGAAAATCATTCATTATGTGGCACGAATGCACAGCGATGTTTGAATATTAATCGTGTCATTCTGTTATCTCCTTGTAATTAAGGGTTTTTAAGTACACGCGATAAGACACGTGCTAAATGGCAGTGAAACACGTGGGGACGAAGAGAGTAAACTCGAAAATCGCTTCATCGTTTATTTTGATTGCACCGCGGGACGGAGCACTGGGCATGTGGAGATTAGAAACACGCTTTTGAGTTCTGACCGGAAGACATGAAGGAAAGCGTATCCGGAAGAAGGGAAGGGAGGCCGATATTAAATTCTATTTTGAAGACATGGGGGATACAGACCAGTGTACGGGCTCTTTTGAACATGGAAATGAACCTTCCGGTTCTTGGACTAGTCCAGGCGTTTAACGACGCCCATTGTTAGTTGATTCACGAAATAGGTCACGTGTTTGAGATTTTAGGTTCTCAAGGCGGCGAAGATGTCTGTGTAGGTCTTTGGGTTATAAAGCCATCTCTGCGCTCGTGGACCTTGGTGCATATACCAAGGTCTCGCTTCAGCTTTGAAGGTGAAGGCGGTATGTTCTAAGCGTACGCCAACAAGTTCGAGGTTACCACAGAGACGACCCAACATTGATAAATGTAACCTCAGATCGACTTAGAAAGTCGGGGTCATTGCCCAAAAACACGGGGGGGCTGTTCGAAAATGCAGTCTTCGACGGTCAATCGAAGTGTTTCCCGACGCCGTGGACATTGACAAAGAGCTTTTAAACGCAACCAAGATTATGGGACAGACACAAGGCCTAATTGACAACGATACCTGGCGGAAATGTTTTTAAAAATGTATTCCAGTGTGTGCGTAATTTTTGTTAGAGATGGCGATACGAAGGTTCCTGAAATAAACGAGGGAAACTTTATTCGAAGCGATATTATGCACATTATTTACGGCAGTCGGATTAAATATTTAAGAGTATGAAGAAGGAAGATAAGGTGAAGAAACAAACTGGTCCCTGAGCTCAGTCCGTGGCTTACGAGTTGTCACGATGTCAAACATAAAGGTATTTTAATTGTCCTGCTATTATCAAGGACAATAAAATAAATGCAGTCATTGTTTCAAACTGTTTAAAAAAAATAATAGTCTATTTGGCGGAGATTTTGTAAAAGGAACGTGAATTTTTATAGTTTGACAATGAATAAATGTGGTTGTTTCTTATATTGATGAGACCAAATGCTTTGTTTCCATTGTTAATATTTAAAACTGTCAGTTGATACGGAATCGTAAAATAATGGAATAAGTTCGTCGTTATAATTAGATAATAGTTGTTAAAAAAAAGTTGCAAGTGATATAATTAAATTTATGGGTAGCTTTGAAATCTTCGTAATATAAGACAGCCCATAGGCTTTCGATCTTTATTAAATTAAATTTGATTGGGACTAAATTTATACTAAACGACTCATGTTACAAAAAGTTTCGGTTGCGTTGTTTGATTTCGAGTCTCTGAGGGCAAGTGCGCTTTTCGCCATGTTTTGTGCCCCGTTTGTGTCATCATTCATTTATTACAGGTGCAGATGTGTTGTTGTGTAGCTTAAGAATGCTATTACACTTCACATTTAATCCTGTTTATTTAAATACGTATGTACATACATGCCACAACATGAAATAATGTAATACCTTTCTAAGTCGGTAGTTTGCCATAACCTAACTTTTCTTTCAAGAGCTGTTTTTAGAACATCTCTGAATTTAACACCGACTCTTATGTGTTGCAAACGGAGAGAATTGCTCGTTGATGTCATAGAATGTCAAATGGCAGCTTTGGTCTCAAAACTCCGTCACACAATCCGGACATTAAGGCACAGCCGGACACGTTTTAGTTAGGTAACTCTTCTGTCCCCTGAAACCAGACTGGGAAGTTGTTCTCTTTGGAGTTCACGCTGCATCACATTGCTAATTCTTACACTTATGCGATCGGAGGTCATTGTTACACCACACTGTGTTCCGACGATGAGACGTCCTGTCCCATTGTTGCACAGCAATGACGCCTGACCGTGCAGGTTGTCTACCCTCGTAGAAGACCCGCGAGAGACAGATATGGACAGGCCCGTAAGGTGTTTTTGTCCCTCGCAAAAGCGTGAAGAACACGTAACCTTCGAAACTACTGCGATATCAGTCGCCCCTTCATCCATCGATCCGTGGGCACCTAAGCCAAACAGAAATGAAATACCAACACCATCAAGGACCACTTTTGAAGAAATAACAATAGCAGTAATCGTCTATTATTGATTACTCGCCGAAACCACTAAATAATAATAATAATACAATTGTATTTGTCGTTTTACGTTGCCTTGTATAGAGTTCGGGGTCGTTTAATGCCCTTCTTACGCTCTGGCTCTTTGGCGACGGTAAAACTGATTTGGGTAGAAACGGAATAACTGCAGAGATATAAGTGAAAACAGAAAATGTTATGGAAATCCATTGTGCGTGTGCCGACTTGTTACATGAGATAAGCAGACGGTGACGAAACTCATGGGCGCCTTTTGCAACTTCTTGTAAACACGCGGAGACATTGACGCAGTCGTTAGGTTGTAGGTCATGTTCATGAAAAATGCAAAGCACTGCACAGAACATCAATGAATACGATATGGCGGATGGAAAAGATTATTCTGTAACTTTTTACGAAGAAGTACAAAAACATAATGTAGTATTCAAAATGTGGATAACATTAAAGTATTAGTTGAGTGCACGTATTTCCTTGTGTAAGTACTGATGATTACAGTTTCACCAAAATAAATTGTTCAAATGTATTAGTAGGGCGTTTGAGATGTACTGGGGAATTCTGTTGCTCCATTCTGCTTGACTGCGTGGGCGACCGCCCTGTTTGCCCACATACAAGACCTTCTGTGGTCACATGTGTTCGATCGCCCGTTAAATACTGTATGTTCTTGCAAAATATCAAAGAGTATGTCCGTCGTTCTGACGAGTTTGCATACTTAGACATACGGAGCGGTGTAGTCTACCGTACTACTTAAAAAAGTTGTGATAATATTTTAGGCAACGGTCCAAAACAGGAAAGAAGGGTTAGGCGTTTGTTGATTGCGTACATTTAATAAGAGTAATTCAATTCTTGTTGCCTTCATTTTCATAGAGTTTCTACAAAACTAGCGTCTGTTCTTATGTAAGTTATATCAACGTTCAGTCTGTGTATTTATGTATAATATATCTTAAATGTTAAAACAAATTTTCATGCTGCTGATACAAGGAGTCCCATAGTATCTTTCCGAGCTAATAACATGCCCCTTAGTAAAGAGTAAAATTGTGATGGTTTCGTGTAAGCATCAGAGTTTATATTAACATTTGGGTAAACATAACCTAAAAAAGTGATATCATATCATGTAGGGCGATAAAGGTCCGATGTTTTATCTATTTGTAATTAATAATAATAATGCAAGAAGTTAAACCCGAGACTGACAAGAGCATGTTGTTACAACAAAAAAAGAAAATAAAGAGACATTTTGTTCTTTGTGTTTCAGTGTAATATCTGATGACTGATACTTCGCAGCAGAAGGCTCCAGATTGTATATTGCTGAAATATTCAGTGTAAATCATTTTTAATAGTTTAATGTGATATTCTAGGACCACTTATTTTATCATACTTACTTTGTACCTGCTGTTTTTCAGGGCGTGGGAAGATGCATGGAGCACGTCGTGTTGTAATGTTCTGTTTACTGACAGCCGTTCTTCCTACTGTACTCCTGATCATCCCATTGTATCTCCGACATAGTATTTATGCAGATGTTATCTATGCAGTTGCGGAATCAGACGTGCTTGAAATTCTTGATGGCATATCTACAGTATTCTGTCAGGTATGACTGTCAAATTGCATGTTACAGTGAGATAAAACCCTCTTAGGCATTGGGTGTTCCTCAGTACTTACAATCTGTTTTGTTATTATGTGAGATCAGATGTGAGATAGCAGAAAGGAATCTGTCATCAGCGGGATATGCTATTAATTTCTAATAGCTTTTACAGTAGGATGCTAGATAATATGAAAGATTCTTTTTTTATATTTTGTATGTGTGTTTCAGTGCCAAGATTAGATTATAAAGTATCTCTGATTGACAGAAATTGTTTTATTTATGGAATTGTGATGAATAGTTTCTCAGAATTATAGGCTGCAGTCAGTGACGTCTCTCCTGACCTGAACAACTGGTTCGAAGCCATTAAACTCGCCTTAAATTTTGACGACACAGACTTCATTACATTTGCTACTAACAACAAAGCAAGCATCAGTTTTAATATAGCTTTGAAAATAAAAGAATTGAAGAAGAATTATCTTCTGGGGAAATTCAGCGTATGATGTTTCGGACGATATCATCGGTATTTGACAGTTCCTATTGCAGTGAGCAACTGTTCAGCCTAATTAAGAGTGTAATTTCATGAACTAATAAACATACGAAGGGAGAACCACGCAAATCACAGCAAAAGAAACTAAATCTGATACTGAAGTTTCAAATGTCTCCCTTATGACCCAGTTTGTTAAAGAAAATTTCTGAGCAATGTCTTAACCAGTTTACAATACTAAATGTAATTAATAGCATTTTTTAAAAATAAATTGTCCTCGTTTATAACCTTGGCAGTCTCTGAGTCGACGACAAGGGGTGAACGTGTCTGCGTGTCTGGGAAACATTGAACGTTCTGACGTAGGGACTTCAGTTCCCTTTATCCAATTTCTATCCATTCCTTCTGACATTCACTCGGTAGGCTCAGCTTATCCATTACGTTTATCTCTTTTGAAAATGCCATTTAATGAAGTGTTGTTATCTGTAGCAAGATGTATCAGCCCACACTTAGTGGAGCGATGATGTTTTATGATGACACTTTAACCATCATTCTCGTTGGATTATTGCATTCTTCTGCCTCCTTATTCCCGTTCCTCGGTTTTCATGTTGGGAGAAATGCTAAGAGAATCATTTCTCTTTCCTTTATGATGACCTAATGAACTAATCTATTTACAAATCATCATTTCAATTTGAAATACATTATTATTCTTAAATTGGTAATTACAATTTTTATTCGTTGCTTTCCGTAATAAATCAACATGGACCCAATCTATTCTTAAACATTCTGACAGTGTTACAATTGAATTATTTTAATTTGTTATTGTTTCAGGGGCATTCTCTGAAAATGAATTCATCATTTCACGCTTTCCAACTGGCAGGTATGCCCGACTTGAGCCCCAATAGGAAGCACATCCGCCTGAAGAAGAGCATGTCGTTGCCAGACGACACATTGGAATACTGGGGATTCTATCTCCTCAAAGGTTCAACAGTCGTCCTGTCAGTATGTTCGAGGTTTGTTTTATATTCACTTCAGATTGAATATAAAATGCAGACAAATTTAATGTCACTATGAAGTATCCGATGATGAATTTCGCGCTTCATGTGAACAAAAAGTTATTTTATTTGTACGTCTCCCATTGTCTTAACAGATTTTAAAACTCGTGCCGAATTTCCTCAGACTTTTATCCGCAAATATACATGGAATATGAAGTGCCCCTGTTGGCAGTCTCATTCCATGATGAAAGAGTCTTTCTGGGAAAGAAGCTGACAGTTACCAACCTGGTATTAGACTAGTTAACTCGTCTTTTAAGTATCTAGATGAAATCTTTTTTGTTACAGATATGAAGGGTCCAGAGTTATGGTTGTTAAGGGAGAGAAAAATCTTAAAACGTGTGGTTTGTTGGACCACAAGGAAGGGGCTGTTCACCCTAATATGGCAAGTGGTCAGGGGCAGGTACGTGTCACATTTGATACTGTAGCTCAGGAAGTACATTCAAAGCAAGAGGCTAGTCCTCTGAAACGAGTAACACACCTTCCAGCTGAAGATTTTGAAGGTGAGGATCAGTCCGGTGATGCGGTTAATGCGAGCGAGACGCTGGCAGAAACGGATAACATTACGGCGTTAGAACACTATGCTGATCAGTTCATTAGGAGGCATTCAGCAATTAGAAATGAGACAGACTCTGCGAATAATAGCAGCTCTTTAGTAAAACAGAACACTCAGCACGTTCGGCATGCAAGGAAAAAAATTAAGGGTTTTGAATCGCACGTATCAGATCCTAAAAAGAGCCATAGTAACAAGAAGGAACAGAGGAGCAGACAAAACAAGCATTTGGAAGGGTCTCCGAAGCGCGGGAGGAAGGACGAAAGCGAGAGAATGTCGGGAGCGGCGATCAGTGAAAATAGACTTCGTAAGAACGATGAAGAGGGAGAAATCCAAGGCAAAACACCTCAGAAAGTGAAGAGAGCTGTGCACTTTGGTGCCACGCATATATTGGACGGCGGTATTGAACACGGCGGCAACGCTGGGAATATGTCCGAAACGGATGATACAGAGTCATCCGTCTCTAGCTTTGAGAACAGTCTTCTTACATGTTACGACGGACAGATACTGCTTGCACAGAGCTTTCTTCCATCACCTACGTGTTCGGACGTACACGCTATTGAAAAACATGGTACTATGGAAACTGTTCATGAAGTAATTGCAGATGGCTACTATTACTATATATTTTACAGTGATAATGATTACGTACAGAATGATATACACGCAGTGTTTAATATTCACAAACCCACGTACCAGTACGCCAAGCATAGCAGGGCTTGTTTCAATCAGACAGAGTGCAATTTCCCTATAACGTTCTGGTCCGATGAAATTGTTATTGTGGAAGTGCCAACCCGCGATGGCATAGAGCACGAAGAAGATGACATAACTTATCTCATATCGAGCTGTTATCCTAGGATGTCTGTTTATGTTGTATTTCCTGTTGCTGTGTTGTTCCTAATACTAGGATGTGCATTTATGTGAATACCCGGTCCTTTCAGAGTAGATTCATGTGAAAACATGTACCAAATTAATAGTCTTCTCCAGAAATCAACCGAATTTTATAGAAAATAAAATTATACATTTAATCATTAATATACGAAAATTTAAATTTTCTCATGCGACCTCACAGCTGGATTAAATCGGCATTTAAATGCTTCAAACTGCAGAGATTTGTAAAATAAATTGTAGTCTATTTATCGCAGTCTTGAACTTGGAATCTCCAGATAAAATGTAGACTGTTGACCATTTAACATTGTAAATAATATTTAATAATTCAATCTGTACTGCAAAGTAAACACCATGCTTTTGCATTACAAAGATGAACTGGTTAACTCTGTTTAAGTAAATAATCACTGTTTGCACTGACAATCTTACGAAACACACAAATAAAAATGCAGACTTATTGATTGTTAAAGCAGCTGTTGCGTATAAGTACAACTAGGCTTTAAAAGGATTAAGTTTGAATCAATTTTCCCCCATTCTGAATTTGCAAAATAATCAGACTGGCAATCATACCTGTTTTGTTTTGTCCCCCTTTATCCTTTATATTCTTTGAAATATTAAAAAAAACAAAAACAGATGAGGTAGAGTGGCAGAAAAGAGATTTTGTGTAGTTTGTCCCAAAAACTGAAGTCGTGCATTGAACTCCAACTCTGAAAACCTAAGGACAAACGACTGGCAGCGTTAGAAAAGAAGCAGCTTTTTTGAACTCACGTTTATATTAAAATTTCGTATTTTTCTAGTGTGTATAACTGACCCTTATACTTCTGCCAGACCAAGAATCCTCCTAAGCGGGGAGATCATGCCCTGAAATGGGCCGAAGCACCACAGACGATGATGTATTTCTGCCATTCTTATTTTTTTAATGTGTTATTTTTAAGTCCCTCATAAAAATATCATATATGTGACTGAACCATCACATCCAGCTCTGTGCTCCATTCGTTTGAGGGTTATGGAACCTTAGCAGTATGGCGTTAACAGCTTAGTCACAACAAACAATTTCTTTAGTCAGCTGCAAGGTCTCTCCTGCTTCGTCTTATTTCTGTTTATTGTCCTACATTCAGCGCTACATTGTTTGTGCGTAATTAAATGAAGCATAAATAAGTAAACTATGTTGCTAGTCTTTTTTTACAGATGTTACATATTCAAAAATTATGATTTAATGATCATAATTATGTAGTCAGTAACGCTTCAGAAGTTAGTATGAAAAACAAATGAGTGCTTCCAGGTGCTATGATATTCAGTTATGACAGGTGCTCTCAGCAGCACGGTGATACAGTTGCACGATCCTTTTACAGCAAAGGTTTGTTTCTTAAAAAGTCGTTACATTTGAGGAACAGGCTTGCCACAATTTTCCCAGCTGTGTGTCTCTTCGTAAATTCCTCTGGTTATATAGTAGTATGTGCTCTCTGTCCTGTGATGAGCCGGATATGAATTCTTGTTCCTGGCCGACTTTCTTACTTTTGCGTCCATTCGTTTTCTGGTGTTTCAACAGTATTCAGAGAGCACGCTACTGGTTGTGGGGCGTGTTCCATTCATGTGAAGACCTTTCATGTTCCTGCAGATCTGATTTTGTTCCAGAGCAACCCCGTGAAACAGCCGTGTTCTGTTGTGTACATTTACAGGCCTTATTAACGACCATCGGAATACAACTTGTCACACTGTGTAAACTTCATCTGTTTCATGGTGTCTCACATGTCTTTATGATATACATTCATCTTCAGGGATGTATTCAGGGAAATATTGTTACTTTTACAGTTGTTACAGATGTTAAAATTCTTAAATTTTTACACTGCTTGATTCAAGTTGTTGTTGATTGCACTGTATTGTACGATATATTTAAACCCAGTATCAAGCAGACTTCGTACTATGATTTAAAGTTCTTCATATGCTGTGGTGGTTTGTGTCATATTTATCCTGTGTTTGAGTGATGCTAAGCTATTAAGTAGGATTTTCTATATCCAAATGATATGGCACATTCTTAAGTTGTTTCTTGATTTAGGTCTTTCGCTGTTTATGTCTGTGTTATATACTGTAATATTAATTTGATTTCTGAGTACGTTTTGCGTACATATATATGTATATATAATTTTTTTCTGTGGTAAAATATGGTAGGATTAAGTTTTACACATAGAAGAACATTTGTTATTTATCTGTTTCTTGGTGTGTGGGGGGGGAGGGGGTGTATCTGTATGTTTGTGTTGATGTTTCTGTACTAGTCCACAGGCATTTTCCCAACTATACCTGTGTTCCATGTTTATAATAGTGCGTATTGCTCTGCATGCGCTCATTAATACGCCTATTTCATTGTATTCATTTATTTTTTATTCATCTGTTTTGCTGTAACAATAAATGTGGTATTATTTTTTTAATATCCTTCAGTATGTCTTTCTGGCTTGTTATATTTCATAAATGTTTCCTCTTCGTTTACTTAATCGGCTACTGAATACGCCGTCATGTCAAACATGAGACTTTCTTACTCTTTCAGTTTCAGTCCCACGAAAACATCATTCCATGACTCACCCTCTGAGGCTTAGAAATGTGAGAATGAAATGGGTAGTCTTTTATGATATTATGCCGGTCATCTACATTTATCATCTTTAAGTTTATAGTTTTTACTTTAAGTTTTGACTGATAAGCTAATCTTTTATATACAACTAACATACTGTGAATATTAATATATGATCTTTTTGTGCCATATTAATGAAAATACATTATTCGTTGAAGATATTTTATATAATGCGCTTTCTTTAATTAATTGTTAAACATTTCTGCTTTTATATGTTACCACTGTAAGGGTGCTAATGAGATATTACGTAAGAACTCTGGTGAGGAGACTGGAACGCATCGGACAGCCATATTAACACTTACTATTTTTAACGTTTTTAATTTCAAAATATATTTAATTTTTGTGTTGTTTTCCTGACTGAAGAGTTTTGCCATAAGAAATTATGTTTGTGCTTTAATGTACATTGTGTGTGGGATGATGTAGGTGACAGTATGAACACTGTATCCATAAACACTTAATCCTGTAATTTTATGAAGTTGTAGAATGTAGACTCTTATCATTTTAATGCCATACCATTAAGTTACTGACATTCCGTCATTTCGGGTCATGTACTGTATTAATACAGACATTGATTTATTTTCAGAAAACTGTGACTGCAATTAAAATGAAGCTGTTTTTACTTCCAGTTGCTTTACAAAACAGTTTTGATTCTGTTACGTGAATTAAATTATTTGTATGGGTGTCATATGTGATCACCATATATTTAACCATTTCCCTTATTTCGAGATATGTCAGGTTATTGATTTTTACAAAAAAGAAAATTTCCCTTGAGTTAATTTGGGACAATATTGCTTCTTCTGTCCCATTACTAAACCAAGTTAATTCTGGTCATGAAGAAAATGTGTACAATAGATTCCGGTTAATTGGGCCATCGGTTAATCGGGGCAGCCCGTATATTTGGGACAAATCTTAAAGAGAAACCTCTTTAATTCTTTACGTGGAACTTCGCTTAATTGGGTCAAATTATTTTAGTCCCGATGTGTCCCAATTAACTAGAGTCCACTGTATGTCAGACTATAGATGTAAGTAACTGATGGACTTCTGTACTCTCATAAGCCATATATGTTTATGTATTTTGACACCAGATTGCACACAAATAAGGAGGACTCTTAAGCGTCTGTAGCATGTGTCATAAGTTTCCATGCAAGCTGCAGAATCATTTGTGTGCCGTGATTGTAGAGAAGTTAATTTTTACAAACGATGGGAAGTGGCCTGTGATAGCTCTGGATAATAATAATTACAATAAAATAAACATAATTTTGCACAGTACGATTACATGTATTTCATCAGGACACATATAAAATAATCTCATCTTCATGGGCGTATTCCAAGTGTGAAATATTTTTTTTTCTGATCAATCATAGATACAGAAAAATATTAATGAGGGTAGGGGTTAATAATGCCTTAAGCTTCCTTTTAGCTGTTTAATCAATTATTTGCAAAGAATACATCAGGCGCTAGATGGAAGCAGTGTCATTTCAGTTTGGTATGTGGAAGGAAGTTTGGATTTTTATATAAATGTTTAAGGAATTATAGTGTTAATCTGTCTTGTCCTGAGATGCCATTTAGTTTTTTATGAAAATTTACATAAGACAAACTTTTCAAGATTGTACATAAGAGAACCAGTAATGATGCATGTCTTCCATGTTGATGGATCCTACAGATATGTTTTTGTAAGTTCAATTGTAGTGTTTGCTGCTGTGTGTATTTTGCAGCATTCTGAAAGTTGAATATTTTATATATATTACAAGTCCTTGTTCAAATAAGCAGTACTTTTGTATATTTTTAAAGTAATAAATATGCCATGATTACTGTTGTTTTAGTGTGGGGGGGGGATTCTCTTGTGTTTTTACTAAGAAAATAAAGTAAATATTTCTTTGGTGATATACAGTAGAGTCCTGATTATCCGACCTAAACGAGACAACCCCCCCATGACAATGGAGTCATGGTTACCCTGGGTGGTAGGCCGCTGTTCATGCCAGTGGCACAAAAATTGTGCAGGTATGAACATGGTGTATTCATGAGTAGAATGTGTTCGTTGTTGAACATTACTTCGCATCAAAATCACCAAATGTCGTGGTTGACCTACTTCATATTTGGGAAGTCCCGGGTTCAAATCTCGGCTCAGAGACCAGCTATACTGAATGAGTTATTTCATGGTTTTCCTCAGTCCCTCCAGGAAATTGCCAGGTAGTACCTTAAATTAGGCCATGACTGCTTCCTTCCACATCCTTTCCAATTCATTGTTCACTATCATCCCCTCATTCAGTGCTGTGCAGTCCGGGCTACATCATTAAATAAACTGTAAATAAATTCACATCAAAATCATTTGCTGCTGTTTGTGAAAAATTTAGCAATGTGTATCTTGGCAAGGAGGTACAAATTATGACAAGAACACACTGACTGGTGACAAAATTTGGGGGTACAGGAAGCGTTTGTGACATGTCTGGCATCAGTCAATGTTGACAATTGTAAAACTGTTCTGCAGATTCTTCCTAAAAAGAAGAAAACCCTAAAAAATGCTGGGACTGATGTCACCAGAGCTTAAAAATACTGTTGTAGTTGGGTTGTTTTTTATATGGAAGACAATCTTTCTGACGTGTTGTTCTGGAAACAATATCTAGTAACTGGAAATATATTTTATTAGCTTCGCAGTTTGTAATTGACAATACTCCATAATGTGGATGAAGTTATTTTTGAATAATAACAAATATATAATTTTCATGACTGAAATGGAAAACATGAAGATCAAAACAATACCAATAATTTGGCTTTTATTTTATGAAAGTGGATGCAGTGAGTCTGGTTGGATGTAAGGGAAAAGCAAAATAAACACTGCAATGCAGTAGTTTAGCTTCATGTTCTTGATATGCCACAGAATTGAATCAGTGTTTATTGCCAAAAATATTTGTGCGTGCCCATTATCATAATTAATATCCAACCAAAATAAACTACTAGTTCCATGGATGGCTGTCTTCTGGTTTGTAGTAACATGTTGTCTGGTAGTTTACCACACTACATAGCATATAACCCAGAAGATAGCCATTGTAGTACTCACCATGAGAATCTGCTATCCTACTAAACAGGTGAATAGTTTTAAACTCATTTTACATAAATTAAGGTCAGTTATCTGAATTAGACCATGGGCTGGGCAACAGTTCAATAACTGGCAGAGGTTGGGGCAGGCACCCAGGCTGAATTTAGAGGAAATTTGTGACCTCTGGGGTCTAACCAGGCCCTAATCTTGTAGGTACATGGGACTCCTACACTAGGGTAAAGTGGCTGGGCATGATGACGCCCAGTCACCACTATTGCCGAAGTTAAGAATACGTGGGGCTAAATATCCATTCTTTCACGTGTTCAGGGTAGTGTGGCTAAGCACAGGGACAACTTTATCTTTTCTAGTCAAATTAATGACGTTAACGTTACTTTGAATCCTTCATTGTACTTTTATCCACTTGTAGAATAGTTGGAAAATCCTTTTCGAGAAATATGTTCGTCCAAGATATTGAAGCTTCGGATTTAATAGTAGTTTTTAATATACAAAGCTCACCTTTATCAGTCTCTACTTCATAATTTGAATATAATGCTTTGCAAAATGCACATTCAAATGTTTCGGTGCAGGGCACCATGGGCAATTACGTCAGTTTCCTGGAAGAACTACTCCTTGTAGTCTTCCGCGGAATTAAAATAACTCCTATATCTACATTAACTTTAAGTATATTGGAATATTTCTGTACATTTTAAATGTATGTTCAACAATATTCTCAATTATATAAGTTTATTATTAGCCTTCATGTATGTATCGTAGTGAGGCTAGGGAGTGTTTTAGTGTAAGGATACTACTGACGAATATTACTGAGAATTCTCCTTTCCGTCGCGTTGATCGTGAGTGGAACATGTCGTATTCGTCTGAAAGAAGGTAAGACTTAAACCTTATAAGAAGTGTAATTTGTATGTACCTTTTTAGTAGAATTTATAGCCGCGCAGCAGTGTTTGTTTTCTTTTGAGGTATATTCTTCCCAAATTTTTAAGTAATATTAACCTCATGGATTGGTATTGTCAAGGTTTCTGATCTTATGGCAAAGGTGCCAACATGGCGATCGCCTGAGTTTTGTCATTGGACCCTGAAGTTTATTCTTCCACGACATTTTGCTGGAGTGTATAATTATTACTGATAAATTTTATGTCCTGTGTTGCGATTTTAAAGTTGGTCCGCTGTTGGAACACTGTGTAGAACTCGGCACATCTTTCCCATTTTCCAATTTTGCTGTCTTTGCACCACGTTTTCGTTGCCTCCTGGCGACTAGTTCACCATTTAGAAATGACGTATGGCATGTGCACTTATCAAGAGTGAAAGAAAACTTTGCATTTTGTGAATTCTGCCTTCAAAATAAGTTTCAAAAGAGGACAACGATAAAAGTAATAGGGAAGTAGTAATCTTGTTCAAAATTTTAATGTATCTCAATCGCAACACTTTGTTGGGAAATACGCGAGGTCACTGCATGCATGGTTTATGAGTGACGTAAAAACATGCGGCCCTTCGCTGTATAAGTGCAATTAAAAATAAATTTTCTGAGGCACATTTTCATTAACTGGTTACGTTTCATTCACGAATCTGGTATTGTTGCATGTTCTGTATCAATGTAGAAATTTTTTGTGTAGTGTGATAATTTAGTGAAATTGTTTGATATTCTGTAAAATCTGATGTTACAAAGTGTATGGTTTAGTGTAGCATCAGTATATTTACTGTTTCTAAAGATTATTTTTGAGCTTTGTGTATCTAATCTTCATTTTGTAGAAATGATGATTGGTCTGGCGGTGAATCTAAGAATGGGCCAAATGAAAAAGAACAGTCTTATGATGGACCACCTGGAATGGACCCAGATGGTATCATTGAATCAAACTGGGAAGAGGTGAGTTGTGTGTGTCCTTACATTTCCTAGAGAGGAATTTTGTTGCTTAAACATTTTCTGTTATACAGAGTTCATAGATATTTTTTGACGTAAATACGTCTATAAGGAAGGGTCATTCGGCAAAAATGTGTTACGAAAAAGGGAAACGAAAAAGTGTAACTTCATTGTTATGTTACCTAGGAAACGTCAAACTTCATTGTTATGTTACTTAGGAAACGTTATCTGTTTACTCGGCATTGTTGTGTTACATTATTGCCGTCAACAATCCGCTTTCATTATTACGTAGGAAACGACATCTGTTTACTCGGCATTGTTGCGTTACATTACAGCCATCAACCCTACCTTACATTTCAATACTTTACATTACATTCAGCTACCACAGACCCATCTTAAGCGTAACTAATTGAAGTTAAATAAGCAAAGTCTTAATCAAACTTATCTCAATTGTAAAGCATGTATAAAGGAAATATTTAGAATAAAGCCAATATATAAACTTCCTTTCCGTATAGACGTATTTACGTCAAATTCTCCGGAACCGTGGTTCCACTGCCGACTTTTTTTCACTGTTTAATGCTATTTGCCTTGAGTCTTTTATTTGTGTTTGACTTGATGTCAGTAGGCCAGACAGTGTAATGCCAAATGGTAGGATGATTCACCCCTTTAAGACAAGGATCACCTAAACCTTAAAGGAAACAGGTCTCTGTCATAAAGATAAATTGTTTAGGCCGGTAGGGAAACATCACTGTTCATCCTGAGAATTATTGAAACATAACTACAATCCACTGGCAGAATTCAGCGTTGTTGATTGTTATATCAGGCGGTACATATAGTTGCCACTGAGCTGTAAAAGGTTAATGAATGATTTATTGGAAAAGATGTTGAAGGAAGTGGTCATATCCTAATTTTAAGGTAGTGTCCTAGTGTTTGCCTGGGGGCACTACTTAATGAGGCAGGAGTGTTTACTTTGATATGGAGTTCAAACTGCAGTTATTGATCTGTTTGTTTGAAACTGCATCCATATACTGATCGGATGGTGAATTTTACCACTTTTCTGCTTTCTTCTCTTCAGTAGTTTGATGTTCAAACTTACTAAGAGGAATGGTGATTTAGCGGTAGAATGTGCTTGTTTTTTTAGTAAGGATGATGTGAGGTTTACTGAATTGTGCAGTGGGAGAAAGAATGTTGTTCATCTCCTTCAGGATGTAGGTCTACCTGGTAAGAGGTGTTTGTACCCAGTCTGTGAGAAGGGCGTGGAGTTTGTTGTAGTGTGACAGTAACATTCTAGCGGAAGAAAGTGTCTTAAAATTTGTTGCAACATAAAGAAGGGAACATGTTTTTAGAGATGAACTCCAATTCTTGGCGCTAACTTACTTTGGGTAGAGGATTTGCTCAATTGAAATATGCATTCAGGTTTCTGTCTTTTTCATTTTTTACTTGAAGATGGAAGTAGATCTACCTTCTGAAAGGGTATTTTGTTGAAACGTAGATGATGGACAAAGTCCAAAATACCACTTTTGCAGATTATGAAGAATCGGTTTGGCTGCGTCTCTTCTACCACGTGAAAAACGTGTTGTATGAATGCATGAAGAACTGTGGTAGATTATTTATGCAAGATAAATTAATAACGTTGCAGTTCTTCATGCACTTAACGCTGTCGCTAGTCAAAGTAGGCATTGAGCGCGTCAAAACTGACAGAGGCTATTTTGAACAATTGCTAACTATGTAAGCCCTACAGTACAATCTTTCTCCCCAGTTTTTTCAGTGTATTATTCGTAATAATTTTTTTTAAAATCCATAAATAATTTGTTGAAGTAAAGATACGGTACAAATCGTTTGCAAGTATTGAACCTCAGATCCATCGTCATCGTGACCGCCTTTCCCACGGTCCACTCCGACACACCTTTGGAAACCACGATTCTCCATTTGGTCCGTGTTTAACGGCCTTGATGTGTAGGGACTTCTGCTGTTGTCGAGGCTTCGAAATGCTTAGTTAGATCTTGGGTCCTTCACCCTTGTTCGTAGGACAGCAGATGGTGAGGCAACCCCATTTGCTTTATTTTATCAGAATTATGAAATGAATTAGACAATCAATATTTTATGTTTATTTTGTATATTTCCAGAACGGTGTATGATTGATTTGTTGGTTTGTTTACTTAACTTTTTGTTTCAGGTTGTCGACAATTTTGATGATATGAACTTGAAGGAGGAGCTCTTAAGAGGCATCTATGCTTATGGTTTTGAAAAGCCTTCAGCTATTCAGCAGCGTGCTATTATACCATGTGTGAAAGGGCATGATGTTATTGCTCAAGCCCAATCTGGTACGTTTTTACGTCTTCACTTTTTTATTACCTACGAATTTTTTCCACTCTGTTCTTTGCTCGTCATTGTATTAAGAACACCTGCTCATACGTGAATTTTCGTATCGTCGGCACGTTTTACTACGAGTCTTCGAAACGTTTCGTATCGCCGCAAGTCGTCGTCCTAGAGGCTTTGTGTATAAATTGCGCTGTTTTGTTACAGGTACTGGTAAAACTGCTACGTTCTCGATCTCTATACTGCAGCAGATCGATACAGCTAACCATGAATGTCAGGCTCTGATCTTGGCTCCGACTAGAGAATTAGCGCAACAGGTATTTGAACACATCCTGTACCTATCTGCTTGGTGACTTGTACATATAAAGTGTTTTGTTTAAAAAATTATTGTGTCGAATTTTAGAATGTAACGGCAATTTTATAGATGACTGTAATTTTTAGTGTTTGTTTCGATTCTAACGTGTGTTCAAAGTGTAATTGATTTGAATTTTAAAAATGTCTTTGTAATAAAAGCGCAGTATAGAAATACAAGTCCTTACCACTTCCAATAGAGCAAAGTAAAACCTCCGATAATTGGTATTTTCATTGTATGTGATCTGAAATATGTTGCACGGTAATAATTTTTGTGTATAATGTAGTTTGATGAAATTCTTTTAAAGTGTGTGTTTGCTTGGAAAAGCAGCGTTGTGTGTTGTGTTTTGATAGCTGTGTCGTGTACCTGAAATAAGTGAGGGTTTGAGCATCGTAGAGAATGCATTTGAAAACTTTCAGCCAAAATGGAGTCTACTCTTACATTCTATTCTTGTGGATGTCGTGAAAATTTTCGGTTCTCCTCTGAATGCCGTTTCCGTTGTCAACAGATTCAGAAGGTGGTCATAGCTTTGGGCGACTTCATGAGCGCCCAGTGCCACGCCTGCATCGGCGGCACGAACGTCCGAGAGGACATGAGGAAACTGGACACGGGTGTTCACGTTGTGGTGGGCACTCCCGGTCGGGTGTTTGACATGATCAGTAGACGAGCTCTAAGTAAGTAACTTGACTTGTGACTCTGGTACTTCGGTAATCTGGTGGATGCATCAGATTTTCAGTATCTCATTTTTTGCTGAACTGAGGGCACGTGACTTGCTGCCTCCCCCCTCTTCGTTTTCTGTACACTATTTGCCGAACAAGATCATTTTTAATCCTTGTTTTACTGTATTTTGAGATTCGAGTAACATTACAAAGAAAGTTTAAATCGGTGTTCAGAGCTGCAAAGCGAGTTGCAGAATTTTCACTTGGAAATTTTATACGTGGTTTTAATTCTGTGTGAAGAGCTGATTTCAAGTTCCCACCGCAAACAGATGAAGTTTGAAGTTGTTGCAGATTAATACACAGAAATGGCCTCTGCTTTATGTACTTTATACATCAACTGTTTGAAGTTGATTGGCTCACATGAGCACGTGACAGAAATGCACGAAGCTCGGCAGCCGTCGTCTGTGCAGGGGAGATACGAATAGACGTTAATGCCAACTTCACGTTCTTGTGGAACGTGCTGTTAATGTGAACGGGCCTTTCCTTCCCGGTGATGCAAACTCGCCGTAAAACTGCAGTATACAGAAAATGCCTGCCCGATGATGCAAGTGCGTAAACTCTCCGATTCCCTTCCCTTCCCTTCGTTTCACTTGGCCGATGGAACGTGAAACTCTTCGGCTGTCAGATGAAATTGCGGTCGGCAGGTGTTCACTCTTTTCTTTGCGGGGCCTGATAATGTTGGTACCTCTTAACAATGGCGTTAATCTCCTGAGAACTCTGTATTGTGATGTCTTACGTATTCACGCCTCTTCTGTTCTAGGGACGAGCAGCATTAAGTTATTCGTTTTGGATGAAGCCGACGAAATGTTGTCACGAGGTTTCAAAGATCAGATACACGACGTCTTCAAAACACTGAGTAGTGAAGTTCAGGTAAAGTATCAAATTCGGTATGAAATTGTTTGCGAGCGGATGGTTTTCCTTTCGTAGAATGCTGGAAGCGTTTGGATAACAAGTTTGAGAAACCCACTTGCAACATTTTATTATAACTGCAGTTCTTTCATGCGTTACAAACAAAAGCACGCCGCGTAGCGGTGTCCGTAAACGCGAAGGTAAGTGGCGACTAATGCGTCTTCAGAAGTTTGTGGTTGGCATTTTGAATGCTGCCTCCCATTTCAGAAATATAGGTGTTGGTCTGGTAACGAGCTGCCGTGCACGTTTCAATTGGAAATGAGGTTTTGTTGTCAGAAACTTCGGAATCCGTAAAGGTCTGCAGTATCAGGTAAGTAATTCTGCATTTGGAAGGTACAGAGAAGGGAAGACCGCGGCATCGGGTTTGTAAAAACGGTAATCGCGTCTCTGAGAAGAGTAGAAATGGCAGTGGATGAAGGAATTTTGTGTTTGATGCTGGATGTACTTGAGAGTTTTGAAGAAAAGGAAGTGTGGGTTTGTCAGTGGGGAAAGTGTACGAAAAAAATGGGAATTGAAAAAGATAAGTTACAAATCCAAAAGAACAAATCCCTCTTAGAGACCAAATGATGCTGTTTGACGGGCAAAGAAAGCGGATGCTGGATAAAACTATTACAATTAAAGTTACTTTTTAAAAGAAAAGTGTGTTGAATTTTATATGTAAGTGTACATTCTTAACTCTTCATTTAAGCACAAGGGTAAAGATTGTTTGCGACTGCATTACCAGTTTTTTGTGCCTGTGACTGTACTTAGTACCAGCTTCAAACTTTTTGTTTTATCACATCAGCCTACGTACAAGGTATGAAAATGAGAAAAGTGGATTCTTTTGAAGGTCTGTCCTCTTCCATCCCACTACGTCTGAAATCCATATCCAGCTACTGGAAAAAAAAATGAGCAGAAAAGTTTTTACTGGTATGGATCCCATTTGGCGACAAAATATTTGAGTAATTTTAATTTACAGCTATATGAGCTATGCAGAAAATGAAAATAAATCTGTCGCGTATTTTATGGAACAGTTTTACGTCTGGCTTAATGCGATGACGGGTGTACCTGTTTGCTGGCCACGAGGGAATTGAGGTCTGAAGATTTTGTGTCTGCTCCGAGGCCCAACTTCATAAAACAAGGTGTGCGGACTGTACTTGGAAAGAAATGTGATTCAGCGGGAATTTAAGTGACCCCTGTAGTCCTGCAACATGTCCTGTGGGTATACGTCGTCGCACTAGAAATGCACGCAACATTGTCTGCGCTGCGATAATTTTGTTTTCCTGTGTTATAAAATTCATTAGTACATCAGTGTTATTCTTTTATGCGACCCTCGAGCATATTTTGCGAAAAGTGTTTTGCCGAGCACAGTAAGAGAAACGCAAAATGTGCAACTTTTTTTTACCTTTTTTTCTTTCCAAAAAACTAAAAAACAGTAACATGGCAGCTGTGAAAAAAATTATTTTGCATATCAGTTCATTCATGGTAAGTAAGAACTGACATTGAAATAAACTTACCTAAATATCATGTATTGGACACTGTTTATAAGTCAAGAGTTACAAATATGGCAAATGAAAAACTTTGAGGTCATATCCAACAAGTTTAAAAAGTTATTTTAGTATAATTTAAATTTTATGCAGTTGTATAAGAATTTAACTTTGGGTGTGATTTAATCGTGGCCTCCTACACACAAGCTTAACATACGAACCCAAATTCACGAGCTGAAATACGTTCTGATGTTGGATTTTGTTCGAAGTACTTATATTTAACAGTAACACAAGATTTGTTAAGCTTGAAGTCTCTGTGATGAGAGAGTCGTCTTCACGAATTCTGTGGAATCCCTTACTGCAAGCCCGTAGATATGTTATGGGTTTTATTTTTCAGTTTTTAAATTCATTGCTGTGTCATCGAGTGTACCGCACTAAGAGTCCTTTAATGGACGTTCAACTTCGTCGTTGCAAGTGTACATCTGTGTTATAGTCAGCAGAGCGCTACTGAATGTTTCTACAGTCTGCAGTGTAATATTCTTGTAAGCAGGAGATTTCAGTTTGGGTGCACTTGATTGAACTCTATTGTATGTGTTTTGGACTCGGCTGTCCGCACGACACCGTCTATGTCCTGCTGCATGGAGTGCGTCTTATTCTAATTGCTGTGTGCACATGTTCCTAAGAGGTGGCCCTCATGAAGCACAAAAAACACTTAGAAAAGTGTGCACCTCAACGTCAGCTTTCATTTCACGTGTATATTTGATTTTATTACCATTTAGGGCCAGACGTCCTACATTCGCTTGTCGAAAGACTTTCGTATTACTGCCGCAGGTGTGCATTGGACATTGGAAAAATACTAATTTTTTTTGTTTGCAGGTCATCTTGCTGTCGGCTACTATGCCTTCAGATGTGCTAGAGGTCACTTCTTGCTTTATGAGGAATCCAATTCGCATTTTGGTCAAGAAGGAAGAATTGACCCTAGAAGGTATTATTAAGTACTGCTGAATTTGGTTTAGTAATTGTTTTGTCATCTATTAGCATTGGAGGGAACGTTTCTCAAATATACGTTTCTTTGTAACGTGCCCTGTTCATACAGGTCTCTTCTTGTTTGGTGATATGTTCATTTTCTCTTGTAGATTCATTTGTAGACCGTGTTTTGTTAAGAATGTGATTTCCTTGCCCGTTGTATCTTATTACATCCGCAAGGTTCTGATTATATGCAGTGTACTTCCACGTACGTATCGTGTAACGTTGTTCAAGTTCGTTCATTTTGTGCTTCAAGGTACAGGTTTGAAGATTGCATTTTTTGTGTGTCGGTCGACTCCTCTCTCGATCAACAGTGATGTTTCTTAAATTTGACGGGAAGTGAATTAAATAAATATGATTGATGGAATACGCGGGAAACTTGGTACTTTTCAAGCCCCTGTTTAATAATGTTTTGTGTCTCCTACAGACTTTGCCTTACCTTCAAGGTATTCTGTGGTCGTAAACGGTCGATTCTGAACGGGACTTCGGCTATTCTGTGACCTTGCATATAATTATTTTACATTGTAGTTTGTTGACAATTCTGTTTGCAGGTATCAAGCAGTTCTTTGTATTTGTTGAGCGTGAAGATTGGAAATTGGAGACATTGTGTGATTTGTATGATACATTGAGTATCACTCAGGCAGTCATCTTCTGCAACACTCGTCGTAAAGTGGATTGGCTGACCGAGAACATGCACAACCGTGACTTCACTGTGTCTGCCATGGTAACTTGTTCTAATATTCTATGCATATTGATATCGTAGGTATACTTATAAATAAAGTAAAATTGATTCTTTGTTTTTGGAAAAGGTATAAGGAAGGGAACATGCCAATTTTCTTGCGTCGAATAGTAATTATGTTGGTTAAAATGGAGACTAATACAAGGCGTTGGGAATAATCTGAGGGTAGAAATTTGTTGCTTTAACTTGGATTGACTGGAATTCTAGGATGCATGGAAAGTATCCTGATTTCCTGGTCATTTGTCATAGTTTTATGTCACATGTAGTTGATGAAAGGTGTTCTCGGTAATCACCGCGGTCAGTTTTATCAAATGCTAGGTGTTAAAGCCCGCAGATGGGGTTTTAAATTAAAGAATTAGCCATATTTCAACATTTTTAGAAATTTTTTCTCTAATTTAGGATGTGTAGTGCCTTCAGGATGCGGAACTCCACACAAAACAAAAATATTTTCTTTGCTGTTCTTTTTGAGATGGGAGTGAAAACTCCTTCAGTAGTCTTTGGTGTATGGCCGTCTTTACTCGTGGGATCTCGATTCTTTACAGCTTACTGATTTCCAGAATTGTTCACAGATGGTTTCTTAGTCTCACGAAAAAGCACACTGCACAAAGTAGAAGAATAAACCTGTCTGCAGAAGTTTTTTAAAACAAAATTGGTGTAGTCCTAGCCTTAAGTATATTGATGTAAAAAATATCAATACACTTTGGCTCCCCCTTTGATGTTCCTGTCCTTTTACCGTTGTTACCTACGTTTTATGCCGTCTTCTTGCTTGACCCATAAAAGTATTGTGCCAAGATTTTAGCTGTGAATGCAACACCAACGCACAACTGCAGAACTGTTGGTCATCAGTTATCAGATGGACCACACCAAGGCACTGCAAAACCAAACATTAGTGTGCGTAGTAAATAAAAGGGCAGAGTGAGGGGAAAATACGAGAGTGAGAAAACAGTACAAGGCCTTTGGTAATGCGTTGTCATGTAAAATGAACCTTAATAGGAATCTGCCTTTACAGTACGGGTGCTTTTGGCATTAGCGCTAATTAAGTACATCGAGTAAATGGAAATGTCAGTGAATGTGTTAAAAACTTTTATATCATTGCTAGCATTTAATTTCCCACCTCTTGAGTACTGGGCCAAGTGACATGGTTTTTGCTCTGTGTAAAAAGAAATATGGCAAATTTTCGGATTCAAACAGAAATATTTTACATTACTTTTAATAGACTGTGGATGTTGTGTTTAGCAGCCTTCAGGATGAAGTGGAACATCGCACACCATACATTCTCTCTCTCTGGGAATGTTGTCTCTTCTTTCTACGTTTGGCAGGGAAGGTCTCATAAACGCGTTTGTGTTCAGAGCTAACACCGCTTGTTTGTTGCCTGAGAGGATTGTATTGAGATGAACATTTATTTAATTAAGATTTTTCTGACTTTTGGGATCTGTAGGCTTGCTCTTGAAAATATTTGTATGTTATTGATAAGTTTTAATATGTTATTGGAATGAGCTATTAATGTTATTTTTCCAACCTTAAGAAATCTGTGTGCTAGGTTGCGTGCCTTACTGTGTACTGAAGTTGAAAGATTCGGTTGTAGGTAGAGAAAAACTTGTATACATTAATGTTAGGGGGTTTGTGATGATTTGCGATCTGGCACTTGCCAGACTATTACTACTCAGACACAATCCTGAAGATGGAGGTTATATGTTCCTACAAAACGTTGATAATCCTGTACAAGACTACACAGCGTTGTGGCCCATAAAACCGCAATTGACAAGTGAATTTACAGTGGTAATTGTGGAGTAGGGTTCACTGTAAATTGCTCTCTCTACCAATTGTTACAAAACAATGATTCTGCCTGTTCTTTTGTGTGGGTGCGAACATGGTCTCTCCCTCCGAGGGAGGAACAGAAGTTGCAGGTTCAACGACTGCATCACACATAAACTGCATATTGTATGTCCTCACAGTTTAACAGCATTTGGATGATGGAAGATAAGTGGAGAGGGATGGATCTATATGACTTGTCAATAGTCTGTTCATACTTAAGTGTACACAATATCTACATTTTGATTTTTCCTGTTTATGGCCAAATTTCCGGCCCATTTGAATGACTGTGACCTGTATGGAAACTTCTGCCACGCCGGTCGAGCATGGAATCTAATATGAACTTGTATGGTTTCAGCATGGGGACATGGAACAGCGTGAAAGAGATCTAATCATGCGACAATTTCGAACAGGATCTAGCCGAGTGCTGATCACAACTGACCTCCTGGCTCGCGGTATTGATGTACAACAGGTGTCCTTAGTTATCAACTATGATTTACCATCAAACCGTGAAAATTATATTCATAGGTATGTTTATCACTTCCTGACAAATTACGTTTCTTGTTTCGAACATGCGTAATTCAGATTATTGTTTTGGTCTTTGGTAACTTTTAATTTTAAAGTAATGTTTCAGTAAACTATTGTGTAACATTTTTCTGGTGGACTTCGGTCATTGTGGTATAATGTGCATTGCTTTAGTTACTCCGATGCCTTTTCAGAATTGGCCGTGGTGGACGTTTTGGCAGGAAAGGTGTTGCTATAAATTTCGTCACTGAAGAAGACAAACGTACTCTGAAGGACATTGAACAGTTCTACAATACCCACATTGATGAGATGCCGATGAATGTAGCAGACTTAATCTAAGCCTAGTGCTGTTCTGTGTTGGGTCGCGTTCTGTTGGTGTGAGTATCGAGGTTCTGGACTGCCACGTTTTGTGACTTGCGATTTCCCATTTCATGCTGAGTCGGCATGCAATGAGTTCTTATTTTTGAAGTATTCGGAGACGTGCTACTCTGGATTCCTGTGTACGAGACTCTAATTTAAGGTGAAGTGGGTGGAGTCTTAAGCTCTCATTAATGATAGCAATCTGTTTTCGACAGGTTCTTGTCTTGATTTGTGCTCGGTCCAATTAAAGGACTGATCTCTTGGTATTGGCCGTGTTGTGTTTTAGAAACTAAACAGGTGTTATTGATTTGTAGGTTGATTAGTTCAATTTTCATTTTGATTCCATTGTATTATAAGTTTTAGACATTTGAATTTGTATAAGTGAAGGGTTAATTTAATTCTTTAAACATTTGTTGTGGATTGTATCCACCTGAGCTGGAGTGAAGTTCAGGATGTTGGGTCCTAGTAATTTTCATACTGAGGAGTCTGCCTGGATGCAGTTGTCTCTGGACATAACAAAACTTCCACAGTTTATATTTTCTGATATTGCCCATTCTGTACTTTCCTGGGTAGATAGTTGGATGTCCTTTTTTCAAAAGTACATTGTGAGGTACATTGAATTAAACTTTGTCTTTAGAGTGTGGCATTTTCAAAAGACAACAGAGCATTTCACAATTCAGGTGGTGGCTAAATTGAGAGGAGAATCTCTCCACTTTAGATTTGCAGGCAGTAGCTTTGTGCCATGTTTGCATAATCAAGTGTTTTGTTGTCTAGGCAAATTATTAGTTGGGTTCTGGAAAGGTTATTTTAATCAGAAAAGGTGCAGGAGACGAGATATAATTCTGACTAGAATGGAAGATCACCGATTTTGTACGACCTTATTTAGCATATTAATAAATACTGTGAGAAAGCTCGGTTATCTTTTGTTTTTAAAAACTTAAAAGAATGAAACCCTGTTTGATCTTGGATTGCTTTTAGTGAACTGATGATAAAAGTGCTTTTCTGTATTTACAGGCAAATTTTGGCCAGTCCACCAGTGCGGAAGAATGTTTTGGAAATAAAGATCAAAATTTCCTAATTGAAGTCTGGCAAACAGTGGTTTTTCTTGTTATGCATATGTTGTAACCCTATCAGATCCTTGTCCCTTTGGCTGATTCTGTGAAATTTAATGTAAACATGAACAAATGAGTAAATCTGCAAAAGTATAGATTAGTTTTTATTGTATGTGAGTATGCTGTTTAATAATCATAACGCTTGTTTTTTATAATGCTTAAACGTAAAAGTCATGTCAGATTTGTATCGAGTATTCAACAATTATTAAACGTGTAAATAAAAGTTGCAGTCATAAAAATATAAATATTTGAGAATTTAGTGTGAAGTAGAAATTGCGGGTTGAGAAAAGCAAACCAAATAAATTTATAAATTTGAATGAGGCGCTGTAATTGGATATAGTCTTCTGTAACGGACTGCCATCTGGTGTTAAGCGAAAGTACTCATTGCCGCATTACAACCGGAACTAGGGTTTCTAAATAAACTAGTGCTGTTAGTTACCTATCAGTGACGTATTATCGCGATAGCTAACGAAACATCGTTGTAGAGAAAATTACAGCAAAATATATATTTATGTAGATTATTTTTATGACTGCAGTATTATAGATACATATCACTCAAGTAGCGGAGTAATACAGAAACTGGACTGGAAGATTGCGCACTAGTTCTTTCGTCAGCGGTAGTGTACGGGCAAAGTTGTGTGTGGTATTTTGTGTGTCTTGACGGCTTAAATAATTTTGTGTACATCATGAGCTGGCAGGATTACGTTGATAAGCAGTTGCTAGCTTCTCGTTGTGTGACAAAAGCAGCAATCGCAGGACACGATGGAAATGTGTGGGCGAAATCCGATGGATTCGAAGTAAGTATTTCATGAAGTAGCGTAACTAACATGTTGGAACCGATACGGAAAGGCAGAGGGCTGACAAGACACCGGCGGTACGATAATGTTAGAAGTTATGTAGTTAGGTAGCAGAAAGATATATTTTATAATTAGGCGGTAAGAAGATGAGCAGAAATTGTTGAAGTTTCAACTTAATGTTTGTTATTATGGTGTGTATAAGGGTGTGGGTAAAGATTAAAGCTGTATCGATGCACGAGTTGGCTAGTTGTGATATTAGTGTTCCAGATTACAACTTGTATGTAGTATTGCTTTTGTTCTCAGTGATACTAACGCAGCTACAATCTGTATATGCAGATTACATGCATTCACTGAATTGTATAATCTGCAGGCATCAAGTAGCAATATATACTTTCCCGATACGAATGTCAAAATGGCGGCACAATTCACCGACGTGGTACAGAACAAAAAGAATTATTGGCGCTCATACAGACAAATGTTTTGGTAAATTTTGTGTGTTTAATGACGTAGCGAAATTCTTGTTAGCTGTATATGTTAAGGGGTAGAATGTTTTTTTTTCAGTAGGTGCCATTCCACAAGCAGTACGACCTTTATTGTGCAAACTGCCGGGTAGGCGACATTTAGTACATTTAGTATTTAGTTAAAACGGGTAATTAGTTATGTATATATGTAACGTTCAACTTACCCTCAACCCCTGCCGGAGCACCTCCCCTTACCAGCTGTCTGATCTGTTCTTTAACATATCCTTGGCTGCTCTGTACATTTGAGGGTTTGCTCTACAGCTTGAGGACATCGGGTCATGCCATTCTTTTGTGACAACAGATCCACGAAACGTCGGTTTTTTTCCCAAGAATAGGCTGTAATTTCATACACATTGCTTTTCTGTAAAACTTACTTTTGTTGATATGTGGCAGACTACATTTATCCCATCTGATGAATGCTAATGTTGGTGAGATTTGAGGTTCTCTTGGTAATGAATGTGGAGATGGCTGTCTTTATGAATGTGCTAAAATTGAATATAAAGATGGATGCTTTCTAGAATGTGATAAAATTGTTTATTGCTGAGTCCAGGAGATATTTTTAAAAACATCAAAGAATTCTCAATGTAGTGTATCTTTTGAATTATTACATTTGTAAATTTAGTTAAAATGCAGGTTGTAACAAGGAACTTACTCTGTTTGTGTGTAGTTTTAATTTTAAATTCTGTAAAGCCAGTATTTGTAAATGGAGTAGTATTCAAAATCCCAATGTCTGTATGTACGATCATATTTGAATCAGTGACTTCATTGATTGCCAGGTATTTAGCCTGTGTGAAGGAAAATGTACCAAGAAGTAATGTGTCACTAGAGTCCTTGTGAAAAGGGCACAGTGTTACTAGTTCAAAATAGCTAAATTCTATGAATGGCATCAGATGTTTTCAGTTTTCATGCCATCTGATGTTATGATTCATGGAGCGTATGGAAATAGTGAAATGTAAATGAGCTGTTAAGAGCATAGTCCAGTGTTCAGATGGATTCTGTGATAACACAATATCACCGAGTTGTTGACCATTTTACCAGCCATTAAGATGTGAAGGAACTGCTAGTTTTTGTTTCAAGGTCCGTTCCCACCGTGTATCACAAGTGTGTGACGTGTTCATATTCATCCTGTTTTTGTACAGATATCCTTCAGTTAGTACATTTTATCTGCTGTATTAAGGAAGTAAGGAAAATACTGATAGAACTTGACTTTGGATCCTGGAATACGGTGATATAATTTACTTCTGTGTAGAGTTCGTTAGAAATAACCGAGGAAAGTTCGGCTATAAATTTTTCTTTAATTTTATATTTTTATTCTAAAAGGAATGTAATTTTAATAGTCTACAGTTTAGACTTCACCTGGAGTCAGCCGCTGTTGTGTGTTACCTCTTACGATAATGGGGAAGTGGCTGCTGCTCCATCATTTGACACTTGGTTTTTTTTAATATTTAAGTTGTCATGGAGAGTTGGCGTTTCTTATGTTGCTGAATACTCATTCCGCTAAGTATGAAGTTAGAATAGTGGAGCTGCCACTTCGTATCCACGAGATGTCCTCTTGGCGGTCTTTCCTGCCTTTCGGTAGTGGCAGTGGGATGAATTGTATGGACATCTCATGGCAATGCGTGAGAGTAATATGATGCTTATTGGTATTTTAGTTCTTGAAAGTGATTACTGCGTTGTTCTCATTCTAGTAGAGTTAATTACCAGAAGGCCATGACATGGTTGAAACATGTAAAGGTATTATATGCCTAATGATCTCTTCTTACTAGCGTGTAATGTTGAAATGTTACCTGTTACTGAGAGTTAATTACCAGAAGGCCATGACATCGTTGAAACATGTAAAGGTATTATGTGCCTAATGATCTCTTCTTACTAGCTTGTAATGTTGAAATGTTACCTGTTACTATATTGGTTGACTGCTCTGAGGTTTGTCGAATGAATTTAATTTTGGCTTATATAAATCTGATATAATCCCAAGTTTTGAAATTCATGTCAAACATAACAGTTTTCTCACAAACAACTCGTACAAAAAAATAAGTGATACAGACTTCATTAAAATAATATATTGAAATATTTCTCGATGGGAAACATTCAACAACACCATTCAGTTGCACAGAATCGCATTATGTACGTGGGAGATGTATGATTTGAAGTTTTCTTAGCGATCAAGTGTAATGAATTATTATTGGGCTGCCAGCCGTGTCAGCTTCAGGAACCGTCTTCGTGCTTGTCCTCAAGGTAATGAACTTCAGTACCCTGAGGATGAGGACAGAGATGGTTTCCAAAATGCTTTTCTTCTTTCCACCACCTGACACAGCTGTTAATTCATTGTACGTGGATGATACGTGTATTCCAGTTTTAAGTTTGCCTTTCTGATCTTAGGCATTGATTTTCTTAATTGCAACTGTATTAAAGCGAAGCATTACCGCAGATACGTAAATTTCTGACAGAGCATCGTGTTTCAAGATGAGCTTCATGTATTAGAAACGAGGGATCCTTGTTTGTCCCTGTGGTGTGAAGATGATGAAGTGCCTACGAGAGTAACAGATTGAAAGAAGGGGAGGAAGATGACAAAGAGTGAAAAGGACTTGAAAATAGTTGTTCCTTCTCTTTTCTGCAAAATATAGTTAATGACTGTCTCCTGGGTTATAACACCACGTAGTCTGGTGTAGAAGTTTTATCAGTGTTTCAGGGGTTCTTATACCTCATTGCCCTGATGGTGGAGGCAGCAATGACCTCTGAAACAATGGTACGTTTCTACCAGACAGCACAGCGCTACAACCCTGAAGACCGCCATATTCATATACACTGCCACGAGAACCTCAAATATTTAGCACCAGGTTTTGTGCAAAACAGTTGTATGTTCTAGGTAACTTTGTTGTAAAAATTGCTTTTTTTGATAGATGTTTGTGATGGGCATTTTTGTGACTTCTTGATTCTACATTAAACCTCACGTCAAACCAGACTTTGCCACTGATGGTGTGGTTTTGTCTACATTTTGCTGTTGCTGTCATAAAATGTACATTTCACATGTAACTGGAGGTTCTTTATTAATTCTGTTGTGCCAGATTTTCAGGATCTTTGCTGTTGGTATAAATTATTGTGTGGATTTTTTAGGAATACGACTTTACTCCCAGATTTAGAAATGGAATGTTCGTTTTTCCAGCCATTTGTAATTTGGTTAGGCGTTCTACATCCAATGCTTAAAGAGAGCAGTTACAGCCGTGTACTAAGGGGTGTAATTAAGGACTTTATTGAATTACATCTCCTAGAGCCAAAATAATATTTCGGTTCGTAGACATGTAAATGTTTTTAGATAGACTTGTTGAGAGGTCCCTTGGAAGAACCTTCCGGACTTGCTGTCATCTTGTATAGCTAAATTCGGCCATTGTGGGGCAAACAAGTTGTTTTGACAGGATGTTTTCAGTCTAAAACGTTTCGAAATTTTGCCGAGGAGATTTGGGCCACGACGTGTCCGGGAGCCAATGGTATTTGAACGAGGGTGGAAACTGGAGTGACGAATCAGGACATTCGGTTCAAATTAAAAAAAAATGACGTCCTTGTACTGGTTGAGACTTAGTAGTCAGCGTTAGCGGGCATATTAATAGATACGAGGTGTGACAGTTTCGTTCTCGGAATGCCCCCGTAAACGTTGTATTCAGTTACTAATGGTTGCTGTCACCTTCGAGTAGCCTCCTTGTGCAACAGTACTCATGGTGATTAGGCGTTCTGGAATGTTCTTCATGAATGTTTTGGCAGTTTCTGTACATCTGTGGCCCTTCAGAAGCGGGAGTAGCCAAAAGTCTCGCGGGGTCAGGTCTGGCGAATATGGTGGAAGGTCCAGTTTCAATATATACATTATTTTTTTGGCCAAAAGCTCCCGGACATTGAGCTCGTCGTGAGCTGGGGGCATTGTCATATCGTAATGATGAAAGATATCGTCAGGCCAAGGTCTTCTCAGACGGTAAACCTCACGCAGAGGTCCATCAGGGTCATCATGAGGCAACAGCCCAGAAGAGAGGAGTAAGTTGACGTAACAAGGAAAGTTTTTATTTGCCTCATTTTATGGTACCCAAGAGCCCTGATGTCGACATATCATGGCAGAATTTTAAAGTTGAATTAATTTTCGCATAAGAAGGAAAGTGGTTAAACATATTTTATCTTATTCTGCCAGGTTAGATGTTTGAATATGATTTTTAAGTGTGGGTGTGTGGAATCGTGAAGTTTTTTAATCCAGAATTTCGGGGGGGGGGGAATTTAAAATTGTGGGTATTTACAGATTTTGAAAATTTAGAAATTTTCACTATCAGAATTCGTAAATTTATTTCGCGGGACGCGGCCGATGCGATAACTCCAAATGCACGTTGCAAGGAAAGCGTGATGATATTCTTGCTGAAAATATTTTTAATTTTTTTCAGATTCGAACTCGGAACACACAATATAGTGATAATGTGAATGACATTTTCCTGTTTCTCGTTGCTCGACTACTTGTGCCATATAAACAACGAGACATTCTTTTTCCATTATTAAAATTTGCATATTTTGGTTGTATATTTTCAATTGAACTTAATACGTGTTTCAGAAGCTTTGAAACATTTCGTTAAATAATAAAAATAAGTGCATGATTTTAATTAGTGTTTGTGCTAATATAACATACTCATAGAAGTACAAATGTAGACATCGGGTCTCGAACCCGCCCACGTGACCATCGCGTCATTGCCAGTCTCCTCCCCATTCATTCTATTGACCGGTCTACGAGGAATTGCGTATAATACCTCCGTTTTGCCGTCGGATTTCGTTACAAGACTCGGACAAGTCGTTGGCACGAATTCAAATTAGGCAGACACATTGATAAGTCTGCTTAAATAAATACTTGTAATTAATTGAATATAAATGAGGAAAGCCTTATACGGACAAATACAAGAAAATTATGACGCCAACTGCACGCTTACATCACTTGGGCCTTGGGACAGAAAATTTCTGGCATTTGATTTTTTTAAGTGTACCTATTCATTCATTTTTAATTTAACGACGCTGTTAGTTGCTTCCTATTATATCGCGTTGTATGATTTATTTGTACGTAGACAGTATAATGTGTTGCAAATGAGCTTGTCGTGGCTGTAATTTAAGGCTGTATCATCTCCGGATTTTCCGGAATGGGCCCGGAATAAATAAATAAAAAATCCCCAGTGAGTACAGCAGCTTTTCGGGCCGAGATTTAAACTCAGAAACTTATGTGTACGAAGTTGGGTGCTAACCACTTGGGGTAACTCACTGTGCATGGGTCTGTGGTGCATATGCACGTTACAGAATGAAACTTGTAAGGTAATTACGTCCGTAAAACCCGTGAAAGACTAATTAATGTCTGTGACTGCCACATTCGGCTTGTATTGTGCCCCTGTTAACTACGCTTGCGAAACACAACTGGAATAATTTCAGTGAAAGGACTAATTTATGCCGAGATTACATTTGGTGCAGTAAGACTACAGAATCTGAGGGTGCACTTTTGTGTTCAGTCTTTAAAGGGGCAGCTGCCGACCATGGAGTTGGTCTCGCACACCCTGAGCCTGAACCTCCCAGGGTAAATTCCATGCCCCCTCTCCCAGTCTTGCTCCTAATCTGAGTGGACACCCCTGCAGAAGTCCATTGCTTGAGCCTTCACCATCATTTGTGGGGCCACCGAAGACACAGGCATTGTGTTAAGGGCCTAGGCAACCCCTGGGGCCCTCACACCATGGGAAGAATCTCTGTGATTTCCCCCACAAGCTTTATCTTCAAGGCTGTTGTATCTTTCAACACAGCCTTGAATTACATTGTTACAACAGTGGCATTGGTTTGCATAGTTGGAGCGTCGATGATTTTGCATTCTTGCAACAGTGAGTAGTTATGTTGGCCATATTTACCTGTGATGTTGTGCAGAGAACAGCTTTGGAATTTCAGTGTCCTTGGAAGAGTATGCCTTTCTATCCGTGTTTGATATGCTTTTTGATGGTGGTTGGTTTAAAAAAATCATAATCCTTCAACATTTTCATTTGGTAATTTTCATTGACCTGTAATTTCCTTCTCTCTTCAGGTGTCCAAAGAAGAAATTGCAAAACTCGTGCAAGGATTTGAGAAGCAGGATATCCTGACGTCATCCGGGGTGACGTTGGCTGGAAATCGTTATATATACCTCTCTGGCACTGACAGAGTGATAAGAGCCAAACTTGGCAAAGTAGGTGTTCATTGCATGAAGACGCAACAAGGTAGGTGCACAGTTCATTCCTCCCACTTGAGAAATGTCTACGTTTTCTACTTAACATTTCTTGTCCGCTGGCCAGTTGTTGAATATCTTAGAATATTCAAACCTAAATCGAAGAACACTTGTTACAGTAATTAGTTTCAAAGGTACTCATCAGGATTTTACCAGATTCTTCTGTATGGTTGTAAGTAGCGGTTGGGCCTGTACTTACTCCTCGCAGAACTTCTCTATGAACTGCAGTTGTATCTTTCCTGTGGGCACCAGTTTTCAGGATCGTGGCCTGCATTCCTGTAATCTCTTTAAACCGACAAGTGTGGTCTTGGTGAAGTTTTGTACTGTGCTTAGTTTCTTGAGCTACAAGAGCTGCCGTCACCCTTAATCAAACTCAGGACACTTTTTCCATAGTTTGGACCTTTTTGTATTATTTTCTAGGTCTCAAGGATTTGTCATTAAAAGCTTTGGTGCAAGCTGGACTTATAAAATAAAATACATGTGTGTGTGCGCGCGCACATAGACACACAGACATAGAAAAATTATTAAACAAACCCACAATACCTATTTTATTTTTTAGATCAGTGCATAATGAATTTAAAAAGTGGTCGTGGCCTGATTTGAGGTACTATATAAGTATTTGCATGCAGGGGCTGAGGGAAATATTAAGAATTGCCACAACAGCTGTTCTCTCTGCCAAGATGTGAACCGACATGATGCAGGAGTGTGAATCACTTGACCGCGACATGTGGTGTGCAGTTTTGAAATCCTCATCTGATGAGCTCGGTTGTGGAAAGGGCCGATACGAGAGACGATCAGATGCCGGTGGGCCGTGGTGTCAGTGTAGGGGGGAAACTTGATGTTGCTATCCCTGTGAGCTTTTGTGATGTGATTGTCTCTTGTTTCAGCTGTCGTCGTCTCCCTATACGAAGATCCAATCCAACCTCAGCAGGCAGCGTCTGTAGTGGAAAAGCTAGGGGATTACTTAGTGTCCTGTGGATACTAGAGGTGACTAACGTTGCTTTTGCTCTGCAGTTTTCATTTTTCCATGTTTTGCTAAATATAATAACGTAATTATGTTTTTGTGTTGTTTTCAGATAATATATAGGACTGTTCTCCTGTGGTGATAAAAGCAAAACGTCAGAATTTTTTTTTATTTTCTTGAAACAGCGAACAGTAATGTGCATCATGGTTCCGGCTAAAATGATTCAGTTTGGGTTAAAACTCATCTGGTGTAATCTTGAACTGCATTTTTTTTTCCTTATTCTCAATACCTTGTGCCCGGATATTTGTGACAAGCCGCGCTTGAGTGAATGTCTGAATTGAGGCATTGAGCATTTCATGAGCTCCTCAATCTTTTGAATAGCCAGTTTCTCCAAGGTGCATCTTGAAGCTCTCTTTACTCGTATGGCAGTTTTCACTCGTTCATCAGCTAGTAAAGGAGCCAAGGTGTGCGTTGAAGAATTTTCATGGACATGAAATTAACCAGTTTTGTAGCTGATCCTAGTATGCCCATTGCATTTGATACTGAGTCATTAGGATTTTTATAATCTCTAGTCCTGCTCTTTCTACCCCTTCATCCTCTTACCTATCCCCCTTGCTGTGTGAAAATTTCATTGCCAGATTTAAGACGAAATCTGATCCTGCTTATAAGACCTGCTGTATTCATTCTCTGTCAGTGTAAAAGAAAATTTGTCGATCAATTGAAATGCTTGGGTGCAAAATATTGTGCCAAGATGTGAACCGACATGAAGCAGGAGTGTGAATCACTTGACCGCGACATGTGGTGTGCAGTTTTGAAATCCTCATCTGATGAGCTCGGTTGTGGAAAGGGCCGATACGAGAGACGATCAGATGCCGGTGGGCCGTGGTGTCAGTGTAGGGGGGAAACTTGATGTTGCTATCCCTGTGAGCTTTTGTGATGTGATTGTCTCTTGTTTCAGCTGTCGTCGTCTCCCTATACGAAGATCCAATCCAACCTCAGCAGGCAGCGTCTGTAGTGGAAAAGCTAGGGGATTACTTAGTGTCCTGTGGATACTAGAGGTGACTAACGTTGCTTTTGCTCTGCAGTTTTCATTTTTCCATGTTTTGCTAAATATAATAACGTAATTATGTTTTTGTGTTGTTTTCAGATAATATATAGGACTGTTCTCCTGTGGTGATAAAAGCAAAACGTCAGAATTTTTTTTTATTTTCTTGAAACAGCGAACAGTAATGTGCATCATGGTTCCGGCTAAAATGATTCAGTTTGGGTTAAAACTCATCTGGTGTAATCTTGAACTGCATTTTTTTTTCCTTATTCTCAATACCTTGTGCCCGGATATTTGTGACAAGCCGCGCTTGAGTGAATGTCTGAATTGAGGCATTGAGCATTTCATGAGCTCCTCAATCTTTTGAATAGCCAGTTTCTCCAAGGTGCATCTTGAAGCTCTCTTTACTCGTATGGCAGTTTTCACTCGTTCATCAGCTAGTAAAGGAGCCAAGGTGTGCGTTGAAGAATTTTCATGGACATGAAATTAACCAGTTTTGTAGCTGATCCTAGTATGCCCATTGCATTTGATACTGAGTCATTAGGATTTTTATAATCTCTAGTCCTGCTCTTTCTACCCCTTCATCCTCTTACCTATCCCCCTTGCTGTGTGAAAATTTCATTGCCAGATTTAAGACGAAATCTGATCCTGCTTATAAGACCTGCTGTATTCATTCTCTGTCAGTGTAAAAGAAAATTTGTCGATCAATTGAAATGCTTGGGTGCAAAATATTGGAGTTGGGACGCAGCTGGTGTTTCCATACCACTGCATGCGCTATGATGTGATGTAATTTTTATAATGGTTTGCAGACTTTAAATAATGAATTGTAAGAAGAAAATAAAGTTTAATTCTAAGCTACGTTTAGTTCTATGTTGCAGAAGGATTCTGTGATGAATTTAATTCTTACTACGGTCTAATTTAAACAGTGATTAGCTTTGTAAACGCGGAAAAAAATTCTAACGATAAAAACAGTTGTCTAGCCGAGGTAAATTTGTATAAAGTGTGACGTAATTTTTTGGTTGAGTGGCTGATATTATTGCCTGTTGGGATCTTCATAGTTCCCAATACAAATTATGGGGGACATTAATAAGCTTATTCTTGCAACTTCTTCTTCTTTTTCCCGGTAAAGCGATAGGACGTAGCAGTTTCTTTTACCACGTTACGTCGTTTCATGCCGCCCTTCTCTTCCCTTCCCTTCTAATTTCTTCAATTCCTTAATTAAATCAGTGGATGTAGATGGAACTGCCTTGTCTTGATATTCCTCGCAACCAATATTGTGCGACAGTCAAGACTAGAGCAAATGTGTGCCAATTGTACAACAATTTGATGGGTTTATATGTTTTGTACTACTTGTTTGATTGCTGTATTCCAGTTTTTGCACAATTATTCAAAAAGTTTAAGAAAAACAAGATGTACTGTTCCCCCTTTAGGGCCCCCAATAAAATTTATGAAATGAATTGTACATTTTTGTTCAGATGTTTGTGTTGTTACTTGGAGTGGCTCACCACGTCAGGTCCCTTGGGAGCTTCGTCACAGAGGTGTAGGTCGTTGCGTCGAAGTAGTGTGAATTGTATATATAAATAGAGGAATCCATACAGAATGTATCAGAGTTGTAAATTGTGTCTGAATTCATTTCGGCTTTTAATATTTCTCGTGGGTTTAATGAATGTGTGGACATGCTGCACCTTCAGGCTCGATGGGCTCGTTGACGATGAGGCGTTTTGATGACCTTGAGGTCAGTTGTGTTTTTTGTGCAAACTTGTGTCAAATACCTTGGGCAGTTTCATGGTTCGTGCTGACCTATGTCATGTTCCACACGAACTGCAAGCTACTGTACATCATTTTTTGGTTCTGAGTATGTGCTGAAGAACTTTTGTTGTTGAAGATAACCTGAAATCACTCTCATGAGAAACTACAGCTATTAATTATATCTTGTATATGCAATTAATGTTAACTACATCATGGCAGTGCTTTGCAGATGTGGGCATTTCCTTTTTACAGCGCTAATCTAATATCTAATGTGTGTAACTGCCCAAAGGAATGTTTGTTTGCGACGTATCTCATAGGTCGTTATGGAAGAGTCTGCCCATCCCTTGGTTGAAGGAAATGTTTCCATGTCACGCAAATGTGGAATGTGAATCAAAGTTTATGGTACATTATCTAGTGACTGAGAAATTGGCAGAATCACGAGTGGCTACCTTGTGCTTATTCACTGTTGTATACCTTGTTTTAGTGAGTCTATAAATAGCAGTTCCATTTGATTTTTATAAGATGCCATATTTATTTAAGTAGAAACCATAGATGACACATATTTTTCCTAATTGGTTTTGGCACAATTTAACATTTTTCTAATGATTGTATTTTGTATAAAATACACAAATAATCACAAGTGAACATTTTAGCTTTCTAATTCATATAAAACCTAGAAATGCTGTGGTCTAATAGCATTTTGTTCCTAAAATGTGCAGGTATAACAGCAAATGCATATTCTGGAAGAAGGAAAATAAATGTTAATTAATATACTTCTGTGGCTTGTCTGTGTTTTGTGTTGAATTAATACTGTCTGTAACATCATGAATCTCATTACGACATAATACCAGTTAAAATATGCGCACCGTGCTGTGTTTTTACTCTTTGTAGCAAAAAGAAATTGCCTTATTCTGAGTCCTGACTGAGGAGGATCCTTTTTTACACAATCTGCCTTAAATTTTATGGAAATATAATGTATAATTGAAGTTGCTTGTTTTATTTGCTTACAGTAAAAAAAAAAGGTCATTTGACCTCAGTTCAGCACAGTCTGGAAAAATCAGTTTCACTTAGTGCTACCAAATTCTCTACAGTTTTGTGATTTTGTTTTCAAAAAGTTGAGACATTCAAAATTTAGTTTGTGCATTTTGAGTGTTCTGCACATATTTCTTGGTAACTGTGCGTTGCATCGAAACAGCTGCTTTGTAATTTCCCCCTCAATTTATGCTGCCACAACAAAAACCTTTAGTAGCATGCACGTCCCTTTGACCTCAGATTGTACATCAGCGATTGTACCGAAGGCATGTTTTCGTTACTACTTTTGTGAGGCAATTCAATGATATAGTTTAGGCCGTGTGTTCAGACAGCCCTTAGTCAGCACAAATGCCTTCCAAGCTGTGAACTTGAACATTCCCGTCATCAAGTCACCTTGAGTGGACACCCTGCCAATTCTCTGATGTGGTCGCTGAAGAATGAAATCTCCAACACCTCTTGAATTTAAGTCTTCATAACTTGTGTACAGCTTCCGGACGTGGCTGCTGACCTCCAGATTGGTCATACAATCCATCACACTACGAATGAGCTGCTTGTGGAGCAGCTCAGCGTTTCAGAGTAACATCCCGCTGTTAAGGATGGGAATTACAAAGCACGTCGCTGGAAATCCGACCCCAAGCGTCGTGATGTCTTGTTGTGATGCCATTTGTCCCAACCCTGACGTTAAGCACCATATTTAGTGTATACTAACCCAGGAAAAGTAAGACGCCCGCCAAGCATGTGACAAATCAGTTCAAGATCAGACCAAGTAAGGCCTCCGGATGACACAAGGCACGATGCCAATATTTTATTTCGAGTATTTCAAAAAAAAAATCAGTTATTTTCGCTTTTCATGTCATTGACAAACATTTTTAATTTTTTAACAAATTTCCAAAATTTTCGAAAAATCAGAAAATGCTGGAAAGTGTCTAAAAAGCGCACAAAACAAAAAGATTGGAAAATTTCAAAATATTCTTTTAATATCAAATTTTTGGTTTTCTGCGCTTTTTATACAATTTACAGCATATCTTGAATTTTTGAAAAAATTGTCCGCCAGAGACCTTGTTCATCAGAGACGGTACGGCAAACACCGGGACCGGTCGAAACCGGATTTTTCAGGGGACGTATAAGGAGAATTTTGAAACAAATTTCAAAACAAAATATGCTGGTAATTGCCAAAAAGCGCACAAAACTAACAATTTTTGAAAAATTGCAAATATTTTTTTTAACATTTCAAAAATAATCGCGTTTTATGTCCTGCCTCTGCCAATTTTTTTAAAATTTTCGAAAAGTGGAGAATAATGTACAAAACTCGCAGAAAACAAAGAAAATTTGAAAAATTCTGACTTTAGAATTTTTTCG